TCAGTCAGAAGTTTACCCACTAATGCTTTAATTATTGTTATTGCCATAAGTTTTTTTTTTTTTTTTTTTTTTTTGCTTCAACTCATAAGATCAAAATAAATAAATATTATTGTTATCATAATATTTGCTCCAGCTCATACATTTATATTAATATTTATAAAATATAAATGTATTTAAAGGGTTAGTTCACCTAAAAATGAAAATTCTGTTCATCTTCGCAACACAAATTAAGATATGTTTGATTAAATCTGAGAGCTGATCACTCTCCATACTTGTCCATAGGCATCTTGAGGGATTGAAACTTGCCGCCTCAAAGTTATTAAAGACATCGTTAATATAGTCCAAGTGACTACAGGGCTCAATCTTAACTTTATCAAGAGACAAGAATACTTTTTGTGCGCAATAAACAACAAAAATAACGACTTTATCTCAAATATTTATTTACTTCTCTCTCTGCCTCGAGTCAGGTTACTAGTTTAATAATGTAAGCTTATGTTGTTGTACGTCACACGCATAACACACATGACCAGCGTCGGCCATAGTGAGCCTACGTGTGACGTAGCTCCATGCTATCACACTACGTTAACTGACTAGAGGCGCATAGAGAAGGAAGTAAATAGTTGAAATAAAGTCGTTATTTTGTTTGTTTTCACGCACAAAAAGTGTTCTCGTCGTTTGATAAAGTTAAAATTGAGCCACTGTAGTCACTTGGATTATTTTAAACGTCTTTAATAACTTTTCGAGGCGGCAAGTTTCAATTCCTCAAGAAGCCTATGGACTAGTATGGAGGAGTGATCCACCTCTCAGATTTCATCATAAATATCTTAATTTGTGTTCCGAAGATGAACGAACATCTTACGGGGTTGGAACAACATGAGGGTGAGTAAATACTGACAGAATTTTCATTTTTGGGTGAACTAACCCCTTTAAGTAACAGTAATAATAAATATAAATCTTTTTTATTGTTATTGCTCAAATAACAAAACCCAGCTCATCAATAAATAAAAAGACTCAGGTTAGTGTTCACTGTTCAGACTCCGGTTCGTTATATTTTGTCGCTGGAAACGTAAACCGCAAATCCCTGTGTGTATCAAATTGCACATTACAAGCATCATTACAAAATATGTAGTTACTGAAGCATGTTTTCTCTTTCTCTTCAGCTCTGCATGCCCAAAGGTCTGTCCTTCCGAACACAGCGTGACAGCCGGACCCCACAGTTCCACTCTTTCCTCATCACAAGAGAAAGACGGCTCTCGCACTTATGGTTTCGTTCACACCTTCTACGAGGAGGTGACCAGCCCTCAGATCTGCTCCGCCATGCAGACGCTACTCCAGATGCACCAAGCGGAGCATAATACATCAGCGCATAACTGCCCTTCGTCGTCCTCCTCCTCCTCCTCTAGTATGGACTTTTAGCCAGCAGCCTGGATGAAGTGGAGTCTCCTTCCTCATCTTCATCCTCACAAGGGGGTCGCAGGAGCTGTGGCTGCTCTGGCGAAGGATACGACTCTGTTCGCGACACTCTGTACGTGTCAAAGCTATGTGTCTAATCACGCCTATGCCCTTCATGCACGCCTGTAAACGCTTCCTGTCCCAGATCCACCTGGCGTCACTTCACATCAGCCACCCCCACTCCCTTTGGAAAGCTACATCTACAACATCCTCTATGAGGTACCCTTGCCACCGCCCGGACGCTCTTTAAAGTTCCACGGAGTGTGTGAACCTATTCTGTGCCAGAGGCCTGGTGTTGGGGAGCTGCCATTGGCTGATTTTCCATTGGGTGAGGCCTTCCGACTGTTAGGTGTGGAAAATCTGGTGCAGCTTTTCACTTGTGTTCTGCTGGAGATGCAGATCCTCCTCTACTCGCAGGGTAAGAAATCAAGGATTGTAATATAAAAAATAAAAATGAAAGTTTTAATTTCATTTATTTCAATCATTTCATTTTCAATAATTTCAAATCAATTAATTTTAAAGCAAATCTTTACATTTTAAATAATTTCAAATCATTACATTACAAAATCATTTCAAATTAAAAATTAATCTAAAATATTAAAATGAAAATGCTTTTATTTATTTTTTTATAAACAATTTTCAGTGATGCTGCATTTCCAAACAATATATTGCCTTTTTGTTCTCGTAATTTTGTGTCTCATGACTTATGGATCAGCCACAATAATTTAAAGTCATACATTCACTGTAAAAAAAAAAAAATATCAATGGTTTAACTTAAAGTAAGTAACCTGGTTGCCTTAATTTTAAGTTCTTGAACTGGAAAAAGTGAGTTAATACAATGAAGGAGATTGATTTAATCAGAAACTCAAAATTATATGTTATCTGAACTAAATAAATTATTTAAGTTGATTTGACAAAAGAAAAAATGTTGTGATAACTACACTGTAAAAAAATATTGTTGGTTTAACTTAAAAAAGTATGTAACCTGGGTTGCCTTAAAATTTTAAGTTAATTGAACTGGAAAAAGTGAGTTAATACAATGAAGTAGATTGATTTAATCATCAGAAACTCAAAATAATAAGTTATCTCAACTAAATAAATTATTATAAAGTTGATTTGATGAAAGAAAATATGATGTGTTAACAAATCTTGAAACTATTTGGGGGCTTTAATATGCAACATTAATATTCAATTTGATTTAAGCTATTTCAAATATAAATCTAATGTTTTATCGATTGGCTCCTACTTTTTACATCAATTTTACAGACTGTGTCTTCGGTTTTGTCTCTATGCAGACCATTTCTTCTTTATTTAAGCATTTAAATTTTATTTATGATTCTGGCAAATGAATCTTTGCAGGGCCTTTGATGTGGAGACTGAGTGAATGTAGAGGAGTCTAATGAATATTACATTACCCTTCTGCAGCACATATGCTTTTCACCAAACACAAGCTGATACACATGCTAATGAATTCCTCCGACTGTTCCCTAGATAAACTAATGATAAGACTTTATGAGAAACACCTATTAATAATCACACTGCCCTGTTTTAGTAGGTCTACCATACAGGTGTGTGTCTTTCATAAAATTTCAGTCAGATCCACAAGTAGAAAACACTTTGTTCGTTGCTGGGATTTAAGGCAGTCAATTTTTACATTTTTGAATTTTTACATTTTTGACCCTCATTTCAACAAATTTATTACATATATAACTTTTTTATTGTATAATGTTTTCTTATAGTTTTTTTGTGATTTGAACGTTTGCTTTGTATACGTCTAGACTACCAGAGGCTCATGGTGGTTGCGGAGGGAATCACAACGTTGCTGTTCCCATTCCAATGGCAGCATGTGTACGTGCCCATCCTTCCCGCTTCCCTGCTGCACTTCTTTGGACGCCCCTGTGCCCTATCTCATGGGCCTGCAGTCCAAAGAGGGCACGGACCGCTCCAAACTAGAGCTGCCTCAAGAGGTAACTCACACACACTTGCATGGTACATACTCACTCACAAATTTGAAAACACATTCCACTCCTTATCATGGCACAGCCACTTAGGGACCTTGGACGTGGACGCATCTGTCAAGTGGGCTGTTTTTCTAAGAGGCTTTATAAGTTTCGAGTCGACGATTGGTGATCTGCATATGAGAATGCCCTCAGTGCCTTTAAAAAGCTCTGGAGGCCTTTGCTGAAAATAGCAGCAGGAACAGTATGAGGCTTTCTTTTACAGTCTTGATGCTGGAATGCAGTTACTTCCATGTTGACGTTTGGCGTTATCGTCAGATCCTTCTTTTTCTTTGTCGCACGGTATCAGTATTCTTAGCAGAGGTTTATTATTCATGATTTGTCTGTCTGGGTGCTGCGAGGCTTCCCCACATCCTTATCCCTAAATCCATTTTCCGTAAACTCCACATCCAGATTCCCTGCTATGCATTCTCTTTGAAGTCGCTCTGACCTAGAAAAAAATAATACTGGTGAGAACAAGACACACCAAAGGGGAATGAGTGAGGAAATGGCTCATTGGTTTCCATTTTACTATGTGACTTCCGTGTTTCTTTTTTGCTGTGTTGTATTATTAGTGAGGATTTGGAAAAGAGCTATCTATACACTACCAATCTTTTTGAAAAAAGTCTCTCACCGAGGCTGCATTTATTTAAACAGGTAAAAAAAAACAGTCATATTGTCAAGTATTACAACTTAAAATAGGCCTAACTGTTTTCTATTTATATACATTTTAAAATGAAATTTATTCCTGTGATGGTAGAGCTGTATTTGCAGCATCATTACCCCAGTCTTCAGTGTCGCATTATCCTATACTGATTTGCTGCTCAGGTTTGGGGTCTTACTAACCCTAAACTTTTAAACGGTAGTGTAGCAACTCTAAAAAGTGATACTGAATACTGTTGATTCAAATTGTTTGCTGTTAGCAATTTAAACAAACTGTTTATTAGAGTATTGCACTGTTAGCTTAGCTGTTGCTAAGCTAACAGTGCAATACTCTAATAAACAGTTTGTTTAAATGAACAGCACACAAATATTAGGCAAAATTATTAATACAATAAAATGATTATTTACATTTTGCCTTCACCATCCTGGATTTTTCCACTGACCTTGTTGCAGTGAATTCTAGGCTTGCTATTTTCATAAAGTCGTCTCTTGAGGCTGGATTCTGCTAAAATGCTGCTCTTTTCACAATCTCTTCCTTGTCCTTGCTTCAAAACCACTTGAGGCTGATATGTCATTGTGTAATAGATGGCTCATAGTAGTTCAATTATCATGCTCCAGCTCCTGTCCATTGCCTTTGCCCAGAAGAGAACAGGATTAAATTCTGATCAGGAACAGTGCTGGTGGTTGTGTATATAAAACTCAAACAAGCCAGCGAGTGCACAGACACATCTGACACTTTTCAAATAATATAAACGTATAATTCGGAAGATGGTTAAATCGGTGGCCCTCAAATCGTAACTTTAAATACAGTTTAAATACACACACTGGCCTAAATGCTTCTTTCTGACAGGCTGTCAGCAGTGTGACCTGACAGAGCGGACAGTTCTGCTTGACTGATTTATTTTTACAGCAACAAGGTCACTCACACACACACACACTAACTTTAGGCCATTTTGAGCGCATGAGCTGCATTGCATGTGACTGAACAGCTGTGTCACACAGAGAGATATTTCTAATGATCCACTGGATTGATTTAACCTAATTCCTGATATTGGCTGTGGTTATTAGGTCAGTACAGCTGATGATTTGAGTTGTAGATTTGGGTCAGTGTGTGTTTGAATATTGTAATCCCCCAGCAGGCTATTCTGCGTCAAATCAACCAAATGTCATTGCTGATGATATTGCTGAGTAATCTGGGGTCAAAATGACAGTTTTCACCTGAGATTTGGAGCCAAATTACAGGGGGTAAAAATGACTTTAGAAAGATGGCAGCATCATTATTTTATTTTTACACAGGTTGGTAGGTCTATTTGTAAAATCTGTTGACTTCAGTAATCTTTGTATAATTATATTCCAACGGTGTCGTTAAAAAAATGGCAAAAAGCACTACTTTTTTTTTGCCTCAAGTTTGCATCCATGTAACTCAAGAATTATCAAATATATCTTCAGATTCAGTTTCTTAAACTTTTCTTTTGATATTTTCATAAAGGGCCTCAATTGTTCAATCCCAGAGATATGGAGATCTTAATGTGGCTCTGTGAGTAAATTGGTGAATTGTAGACATTTTAAGTGGTCAAAAACCAAATGTGGGTCACTTTGCATACAACTGAAACTTTTGTTCTTCAGATATTTCTCTTAAAAAGAAAAAATGATGAAACTAGAAATGTATCTTGCCTTTCTATCAACACAATTGCATTAAACATACCTTCCTGAGTGCCATAAATATTCATTTTCCATTTTCCAAAGTTTTCATGTCTGTAACTCTAAAAGTATTCAAGATATCTTAATATCGTTCTAGATTCTCGTTCTTAATGAACTTTCCTTTTGAAATCTTAATTTTCAAGGTGCTATAAAGTTATGTCTCATATGGGGATCTCAAAGCAGCTACATGTTCAAATTTTTTCATAAAGATTTGAAGTTGTCTTTTGTTTTGTATCTTTAGGTTTGATGTAAAAAAAAAAAAAAAGAGTGTTAACGCTACGCGAACTGGAACTAAATGTATAATTTTCTTTTTTGGTCCGGACCAAAAGAACCAAGAAAACTACAAGTGTGAACATGCTTAAAAAAAATGGATGTTTGTTCTGTTTGGCACATCACAATGAATTTTATTTAATTTTATTTAATTTAAATGTAATATTTGAACTGATCCAAATTCTCTGCCCTTAAAGAAATAGTTCACCCCCAATTTTTTTTTACTGGCCCTTGTTGTTTCAAACCTGTATGTGTTTCTTTCTTCTGTTGAACACAAAATAAGATATTTAAAGAAAATGGGTAACCAAACTCTTTATGGGCCCATATGACTTCCATAGTATTTTCCTCCTCAGGCGAACCTGTGTTTCGTTGACGTCGACAACCACTGCATCGAATTGCCCGAAGACTTTCCTCAGTTCCCCAACAAGACCGAGTTCATCCAAGAACTCAGTGAGGTGTTGCTAAGCTTTGGCCTGTCTCCCGCGGGAGGCAACACCTCCCCTGAACCTCAGTCCTCCACGCTGGAGAAGGAGCTGAAGAGCACATCCTTGAGCGAGTTAGTGGACGACAAAAGGAACGGGAACCTCGGTGGGGAGGCGCTGGACATGCTGGAACTTCTTCAAGGCAACCCGACCCTGGAGCGTTTGCAGGCTCTGGCCAAAAGGACTGGGGTCAAAGTGGCCCGTCTGGAGGCATTGGCAGCGGGACAGAAGGCCGTAGGGGATGAGGGCGTTGGAGGAAGGTCTCCTGTTGAGGAAGAGGAGCTGAGGAACGCTAAACTGAACGTGCAGCTGAGGGAGGTGTTCGCCGCACGCTTCGCGACAATGTTTGCGGACTACGAGTCGTTTGTGATTCAGAACTCGCCAGATTTGGAGTCCTGGCTGACAAACAGAGAGCAAATGCACAACTTTGACAAGGTGACTGGCGTGTTTCACACTCGATGCATAAAATAAATCAAATACATTCTCAATATTATTTTTTTCTCTCTAGTTTGTCACTTTTTATTGGTCTTGTACCAAAGTTTTTATCAAAAGCCTCATTCATTATTAAGTTTTCATTTGATTTCTCCTCAGGCATCATTCCTTTCAGACCAGCCGGAACCGTACTTGCCCTTCCTGTCCCATTTCATCGAAACGCAAATGTTTGCCACCTTCATCGACAACAAGATCATGTCTCAATGGGAGGAGAAGGAGCCCCTCCTACGAGTGTTTGACGGACGCATTGAGAAGGCCCGCCTCTACAACGTCCGCGCCCCCAGCTTGCGCTCGTCTGTTTACCAGAAATGCACGTTCCTGAAGGAATCGGGTAAGAAATATTCAGAGTTAGTGGTCTGCTATGAGATTGACTTCTCTTAATATATTAAATGTCAAATTGAACTAGAGTCAACTGTTTAAGTTTGATTTTTACCACTCTGCGCTACTTTTAAAACATTGCTTAACATGTCAATCTCTCAACCACTGAAGTAAGTTTGAGACAAGAATATTTTTCCAGACAATATCAGATGGGGCAGAGCAATAAGGAAAAAAATGACAAAAATTTTGTTCACTTGCCACAGAAATTAACACTTCATCTTTAAATGAACATAACATTCAAATTATTATTTTCTTTTAAATTATAATTATCCAGAAGTACAGTAAAACACAAGTTACTTCAGATATCATACTGATTTGATAATGATAAGAAATGTTTCTTGAGCTGCAGTGTTTAAAACAGTTGGAAACCATGATATATTTTTTATAAATTAAAAGTTCAAAAGAACAGTTTAAGACACCTTTTGAAATGTGTCTTTACGGTCACATTTAATGTGTCATCACTGATTTAAATTATTCATTTCTTTAAAACAATAAAAAATGTGTAGTCTGTCACGTTACGCAAGTAATAAAATATAAATGCCCTTTCATGTCAATACAATTTTCAAATTGTCATGTTTGAAGTTTTTTACTTTTGGGTAGTGTATTGAGTTTGGTGCTGTTTTTCGCATCTATGAACAGATTTGCAAATCAATTTATTCTACTGCATTGGAAATTGTCTTCTCATTTGATGCCTTATTGAGTTTTGTGCAATCACCCTTCATCATTCTTTTTCGAAACGATGGTTATTTCCCCAGTCAAATTGTGTATTTCAATTTTAATGAAGCTGTATAAAAAAAAGTCGCTGCTGCTTATGTGCGCAGATGATTATAGAGAGTGACAGTTCAAGAGGGCGGCCGAGAAGACGGGAGGGAGGGAGAGAGAGAACAGAAGTGTTTGAAAAATGAGGAGAGGAGCACAGATTGAAAGAACTGAAGAGCGTGTCCCTAAATGAGTCATATGAATGGATCGCTTTTGAAAGACTGCCAAATGTTGAAAAGAAAAGAGCGGGCGCCTGGCGCTGTGTTGTGCCATCTTGGGAAGCCTGTGTGTGTGTGTGTGTGTGTTGAATATTGTTGAGTGTGCATCTGCTCGCTGAGCCCTCAGTACCATTGTTAGGTCAATAACCTCTTGTCACACTGAAGGTCACTATTGGAAGATGGCACATACAATAATAATTACATTGTTTATAAAGGATAAAATCCATCTATAATATGCAAATCAATGCTATAATAATATTATTATTAATAATATAATTTTATAAATGATATTCATAAAGGCTATTTTTATTTTTTATACATTTCTATAATTATAAAGGAATATTATGTTGTTCATTTTATTAGTTCCAAAATCAAATAATATAATTTTGTAAATAATAAAATTAATCTAAATATTATTCATTGTATTAGTTAGTAAATTAGTAAATAAAAATGCTATAATTAATGCATAATTATTATTATTACATGGTAAAATAAGTATTATTGTATTTATAATTATTTATTTATATTTTGTTTGTCACTCCACTCATATTTCATAAAGTTGTATTAATAATAATACTGTTTTAAGTATAATTTTACTTTTATTATTTATTCTTATTTATTTTTACTTATATGTCATGATTGGAGCTAATTATGTGTTAAATTGTACTCTAAAATAAACCCAAGCAAAGTGCATCTTTATTAGGAGTAGATTTGTGAATAAATTACTATTTTGATATTCAACGACTTTTACTTTACAGTTACTTGAGTCTAGCCTCGAGCTTACATGATATGAGTTTGTTGTTAGCGATCGTTCTGAAATTACTCGCAGCTCAAGCTATCACGACACAACAGCTAACCTTTCTGACTCATCTGCAGCCCAGGCCATAGAGCAACGGCTGAGAAAGATCGACCACACGGCCATCCATCCTCACCTGCTGGATATGAAGATTGGCCAAGGAAAATACCAGCAGGGCTTCTTTCCCAAACTACAGGCTGATGTGCTTGCCTCAGGGCCCACCAACAAGTGAGTCCTCTCTTTATGGCACATGACACCATTATGAGACATTGACCATTCAGCGTGTGTGTGATGACTAATCTAAATCCTCTGTGATCAGGTGGTCCAATCGCACATGCTCGACTCAGCGCAGGGTGGACCGACACAGACAGCAGAACGAACATCTTGTGCTAGACAATGACCTCAAAGAGGTGAGACTGCAGTGTTTCTTCCTATTCAGCCTCTCTCCTCGTTTCTCTTCTTCTTTTCATCCTGTTCTGTGTGCAGCCTTTAGACTTTTTCATGTATGTTTACTTCATCTCTTTTTGACTGACACTTTCACAGGGACTCATTTGTCAGATGGTAGATGGGACTGATGAAAAGAAGATAGATCATCCAGAAATTATCATTAGAACGATCTAAATATGAGTGTGTTGAAGTACTAATACTGAAATAAAAATAATTAAACATTTAATATTAGGGCTGTCAAACGAATAATCGTGATAATCGCGTCCAAAATAAAAGTTTGTGTTTACATAATATGTGTGGGTGCATTGTGTATAATTATTTTGTATATATATATATATATATATATATATATAAATACACACACATGCATGTATATTTAAGAAAAAAATATTAATTATATATAAAATATTTATATTCATATATAATATAAATTATATATGAATCTATATACAGTATATAGATGAAAATATTTCTTAAATATTTGCAAGCATGTGTGTGTATTTATATATATAAAATAATTATACACCGTGCACCCACATATATTATGTAAACACAAACTTTTATTTTGGATGTGACTAATCATTTGACAGCCCTAATTTAAATATAAAAAAAATAAAAATGACAAAAGCACATAAAATAATCAAAGCTGACAATATAATACTGACCGTTATTTAAGTCATTTACTGAAAATCATCACTATTAACCGAGAGCAACAAATCATACAGATTAGTTTAATTGAATCATTTGAAAAGATCTGACTCGAAGAATAATTCGTTGTCATTGCGCCATATCTCACATACGTGCCAATGAACAGTAAGATGGATGTCAGGATATTTTTTTATCACTTTTCAGTGACATGATAATGACTGTATTTAATCTGTGATTATCCATAAATCACAGATTCCTAATGTCTGAATCACATAAATGCTCTCAGGGCTGTAAGTGATTTACATAAACCATTTACAATTCAAATTTCTTGATGAATCATGCTTAGTACAAAGGTCTCCTGAGCTTTTTGTGAATCTGCCTGTTCTCATTTCTTCATTGTCTCTACTTTTTTACTTTTGAGTCTGCATTTTCTCACTTGTCTTTTCTTGTCTGACTGCCTCACATTCATGTGCATGCTGCTTTTTTTCTTTCCTTTTCTTTTGTTTCTTCCATCGTTTCTGTGTGCGTTTGTCCTTTGGATGCTGTGGGGTGTGGGTCGTACCACCTCACAACAGGTGGAGGGGTGTTTGCTCCTGCAGAACTCTATGGCTTTCTGGGAGTGGGATAAGGCGCCACCCCCGCCTTTAAAACCACCTAAAAAGTCCTTCTCAGCCTGCTGTCTGGTATGTGGAGGCCTGTCGTTATTTGACCGACTTAAAACATTCCTAACATGCCCTTAACAAAGCCCTTCCCCTAAGACGCACAGTCACCTTTGAACTCCACTGCACTCAAATCTGCCCCTGGATTTTCCCACATGCTCTTATAAACCAGAGTTTCAGTAGTGAGCGCTTCGTGAATCACTCAACAATCACAAACCTTACAGGATCCCACAACGAAGAATAAAATCCTCGGCTTTATAATCAACCCGCTCTTGTACCCTCAGTTATTAAAGGAGTAGTTCACTTTAAAAAACAAAAACTGATAATTTACTCACCCCCATGTCATCCAAGATATCCATGTCATTCTTTCTTCAGTCGAAAAGAAATGAAGGTTTTTGATGAAAACATTCCAGGATTTTCTTCATATAATGGACTTCAATGGGAACCAAACGGTTCAAGGTCCAAAAGACAGTTTCAGTGCAAATTGCAAACTGTTCAAAGGGCTTTAAACGATTCCAGACGATGAATAAGGGTCTTATTAAGCGAAACGATTGGTCACAAAAAATTACAATGTTTAAGTTTTATAAGCTCAAATGCTGGCTTTGTTCTGTTCTGTGATGCGCGTTCATGACTCTCCTGTTCGAACTCCTTTTTCCGAGTCAATTCGTTCATTTTGTTCGTTGAATGAACCAAATGACTCAAAAAAAGATTTGTTCATTTTGATGAACGAGTCACGAACAGGAGAGTCACGAACGCGCATCACAGAACAGAGCAAGGCAAGCATTTGAGCTTATAAAACTTAAACTTTGTTATTTATTTTTTAAATGGCCGATCGTTTCGCTTGATAAGACCCTTATTCATCGTCTGGAATCGTTTAAAGCCCTTTGAACAGTTTGCAATTTGTACTGAAAGTGTCTTTTGGACCTTGAACCGTTTGGTTCCCATTGAAGTCCATTATATGGAGAAAAATCCTGGAATGTTTTCATCAAAAACCTTAATTTCTTTTCGACTGAAGAAAGAAAGACATGGGCATCTTGGATTACATGGGGGTGAGTAAATTATCAGCAAGAGTTTTTTTTAAAGTGAACTCCTCCTTTAAGATGTTTTGAACTTTGCAACATTACTTGTGTGTGTTGGAACCTTTCTAAATGTGTTAAGCATCTTTATTATCTGTGTCCTGATCTGTAGAAGTACATGCAGGAGGCCCGTAACCTGGGGAAGAACCTGAGACAACCCAAATTATCAGACCTCTCCCCTGCAGTCATCGCTCAGACCAACTGGAAGTTTGTGGAGGGTTTACTGAAAGAATGCAAGATGAAGGTCGGGATTTTAGTAGTTTAATATGTGTATATCAACGTATTTGTGTGCATTTTAACTGGGAATCCCACGGTTATGGAAAATTTGGAATTTATATATATATCAGTCTGTTATCAAACAGTTTTAACAGGGTTTATCGATACTATATATTTGTGCATTCATATTTGTTTATTTAGATGACCTTTGTTGTCATTTAGTGCTCACTTGAAGTTCATCTTTAAAAACAGTGATAATTGAATACACTGTTAAATGTAATGTTTAGCAAATTCCTATTGCATTTCATATTGTAGATTATAATGGAGTGATTTTTCTTAACAGATTTATTTTTGTTAATTTACAATATTTTATATATTTATACAACATAATATAGAATTTTATTTCAGCCATTGGTTGGTCACTGGCCATGACATCAAAATAATGAGGCGTATAATACAGCTCATCATATCAACAAGAATTTGAATGTTAGTTTATTCCTAATTCCTAACTTTAAAATTATAATTTTATTATGCTTTAAAAAGTCACAGATATGACTTTCTTCTTTGAATTATAAAAGTTGTTATCATTATTATTAATAAAAACATTTTATTTTAAGGTGTCCTTGTTACGGTGTAATTATACATTTTAAGTACTAAGTAATATTAAGATACATATAGGGTTTGGTTTTGAGTTAGTTGCATGTAATTAACATAATGTACTGTTATCACTACAGTACAAACAGGTAACGTATGTAACAAGGACACTAAAATAGAGCGTTACCAAAATAAATATGATAGTATTGTTTGAATAATCGTTTCATTACTCGGATATTGTATTTTGTAGTGCAAAACTTGGCATAGGTCACCATGATAGTCATTGGTCTGTCGGTTAGTTTTACTGTAAACTAATTAGTGTAATTGCTAGCATTTAATAATTCAAATGCTTGATACTTTACATGAATGGAAATCTGCCCCAACAATCTTAGTGCAATTATTTTTAATATCCTTATGCAGTAATCAAGAACCACTGGACAGGTCTTGTAAAATTCAGAAATGCGTTAGTCAAGAATTGTTGGAAACTGGAATTATGATCCTTTTGTCTGTTGCAGACAGAGTCCAGATTGAAATGTCTGGTGTGATGTTTCGGTAATTATGTTTTCAAATGGATGTTCAGACCAAGCGTATGTTGGTGGAGAAAATGGGCAGAGAGGCTGTTGAACTGGGACATGGAGAGGCAAACATCACCGGTCTGGAGGAGAACACGCTCATAGCCAGTCTGTGTGACCTGCTGGAGAGAATATGGAGCCACGGCCTACTGGTCAAACAGGTGAGACACCAACAAATGCAAACGAGTTTCACATTCCAACACTTGCAGCTCTAATGCTCAGATTCATTTATGTGCCGTCGTCATGGTTCATAGGGAAAGTCTGCGCTGTGGTCTCATCTATTGCACTATCAGGCGAGAGAAGAGAAAAACGAGCTGCTGTCAGAGTCTCCAGGTAAAACCTTTCTTCATAAATGCATATAAGATTGTAAGACCAGAAACAACTCTACTCAACTCACTCTGCAAATTATAGAATGACTTTCAGGGGTGTCCATTTCTGTAGGGCCGCAGTTAGATTCGTCTCGCACAACATAGTGTATAAGCTTTTGTTTTGACGCCTTTTGAGGAAGTTCAACATGTGTAGGCCTACAAGCTAATTAACTTTATATTCCTCACTGATTCTCCTTGAAAACCTGAAAGGAACATATTAGTATACTCAATAATTTTGCGTAGCTTGCGTAGCTAGAAGTCTTCAGGCCTAACACCTCTCCATGCTAACTATGCTAACAGGCCAAAAGCTCTGCATGAACGGATTTAAAGTCACTGATTCTCTTTGAAAACCTGAAAGGAACATGTATAGAGCTCCGGCAGCTGACGTCACGCAATCTAAACTCCGCCATTTTGGCAGGCAAATCAGGAGAGCGCCAGCCACCAGAGCGGCTGTGATATCTATAGCGGTTGAATGATTTAAAGTCTATTTAAAATTTTAAAACCATATAATTTCAAAATGACTTCGGGGAATGTTTAAACTGTTGACTAACCCATTTAATCCCATAAAGATATAAAAGAATAATTGTACAATAGTGTCAGTAAAGATATTATCATTATCCCATAAAACACAATGTTTCACACACTTTCCATAAACGGTTTTTCATTTTTTTATTTTTTATTTTATTGATTATTTCAATGGACAACTAATGACACATCATTAGGATATTTTCATGTCTGGGAAAAATTTGGGAAAGTCAAAAAAGACTTGAAGAGACTCCCTTCACCAGTAATTAATTTTTCTATGACCCTCAAACGATTGTGAAAAAAGCATGACCCTCCCCTGATAATTTATTGATTACTTCTGTACTGGTTTGCGCTTGGCTAAGATGTTCAGATAGCCTTTTTATTTATTATTTATTTATTTTTTTACAACTAACAAACGACTAAGGCTGTAACAATATACCAAAATTCGGTTCGTATCATGATTTTTTTATTTTAGATTTTAAAAAATGATAATGCTAAAAAAAAATCACGTTTTTGGTGCTGATCCATGGTGCGTTCATGTAACAAGGGTGGCGCTCCAAAGTATCTAAAAGCTGCAAAGAACCGGCAAAGGTAATAATTATGAATATGTCAAATAGCAAGGAGACATTTGAATTGTTTATTATTAAACAAGGTTTTTCTGAGTCCGTGTCGTCTTCAAGATATGAAGTTGATGATGCTGACTCGAGATCTTCACAGTAACGCACCAGAGAGAAATGCACATTTCATATGGATTATACAAGCATGCATGCAGAGATCATGTTTTTCGTTTTTAAATGTTCTGTTTTAAAAGTTGACATCACGCTTTCTATACATTTCTATACAAGGTTTGTGAGGCAAGTAGCCTAGCAATATTTACGTTGAGTTTCGGTTTATTTATAAATTATGAGAGTCCAGTTCACGTGCCGGCATCTGTTTACGTCTTATTTATTTCATCAAGGCAATTGGTTGATGAAATATTAATTAAAATAAGATAGGAATTGTATAAGATACAATTAGGCTACTTTAAAGAAAGGCTGCGCTTTCTGAAGTCTGTGAAAGTTTTAAAGTCACTTTCACATCGGTCTATAATGGAGAACTGTCATGTCCGTTACATTTTTTTCCCCTCATAAATTGCACGGAAAATAAAATAAATAAAAAGATTGTATGTTCTGTGGAGGCTGACTCTTCTTCCTCCTGTTACTTTCAGGAAAATTATCAGTTCCTTTATCAATACACATGAAAAGCACCCCGGGGGCATTATAGATCTACATCAGATTATACATAGATTATATGTATTTTTGAATTAATGTGTGCTGTGAACTCTGTTGCCTTGAAACTAAAGCTGCCGTCATTCATTCACGTCCCGGTCCCTGACCGCCTTGCCTGCCAATATGTCGGTTTAAACAGAGTAGGTCACGTGACGTCCGGAGCTCTATACCCACTAATTTTTGAGGTTAACACCTGCTAGTGCTTGCAAAACATAAGGTTTCAAATTGCTTTTTGACATTAAGATTGCGTAGCTAGAAGTCTTCGGCCCTAACACCTCTCCATGCTAACTATGCTAACAGGCCAAAAGCTCTGCATGAAGGGATTTAAAGTCACTGATTCTCCTTGAAAACCTGAAAGGAACATGTATACTCACTAATTTTTGATGTTAACCTGCTAGTGCTTGCAAAACATAAGGTTTCAAATTGCTTTTTGACATTAAGATTGCGTAGCTAGAAGTCTTCATGCCTAACAACTCTCCATGCTAGTTATGCTAACATTTAAAGTCACGATGTCACAAGTAGCAACAGATCTTTTCTTCCATATTATGATATGATGTACATTTATGTGAAACTGATTATCTAAAAAAAAACACTGTAGGATGGGGTCTTGGTTCAAAACATCGGTTGTTGATTGCAAAATTGCATTCCGATCCACCTCTATCCAGTCGATTGTAAAGGGATGGTTTTATGCGGATGAAATGATTAGAGAAGCCTACGTCACTGGACGTCTAAGTCAGTCATTTCACTGGAAGATCGTGCATTTAGAAAATAGATGAAAATAGAAATCTGCTCTGCTTAAGAGTGCTAAAACGGTGTGTTTCTCACTCTACAGTGTCTAATGGCCAGGAAAGACGAAAGCTCACAGAGTCCAGTGTTGGACTTCCTGCATTACGTGTCTCAGTCATACAGGATATGAGGTGTGTTTATCGCCTTAGGACAATTGTCGTATACTGTGTTTTTAATAATTCAGCTGGGTAATTTTTAAATGACGTGATGTTTTTTTTTTTTTTAAAGAGAGATTGATATATTGATATATAATATGTACTTTTGTTTGTAGCCATTTCAACTCACATACAATAAATTACACTATTGTTCTTGTTTTTTCTCTTTCTCTGTCATCCTTTCTCTCTCTTTAAACTTCTCAGACACATCCAGAACATGGGAGAGATTAAGACCGATGTAGGTCGAGCACGTGCCTGGATCCGTCTGTCCTTGGAGAAAAAACTACTTTCCCAGCATCTCAAACAGCTGCTGTCCAACCAGGCTTTAACCAAGTGCGTACAATACTTAACACACATCCAAACTCCCATCTACACACACACAGACACACCACCAATGTTAGGAGAAGAAATATATCATTTTTCAATTTGATGGGACCAGATTGTTTATACCCGTTGCTGAATAGTCACACGTTTTTAATAGAAGATTTGTCACTTTCTGTCAAATCCTTTAGCATGTTATGTTAGATTGTGCTTTAACCCTGTGAGAAACCTTGTTTTAATCAAATGACACATTTGAAGAATTTTTTTTTACAAAATAGCCACAGAAGCTGGCATGGCATTAAAAAATGGCTTTGAGATTTCTACATATAAACCAAAAAAACAAACTCATCACAAGAAGTTCTGAGTGACGCAAACGAGTACACGCACGCTGACCCGTTTCAAGTTGCTGCACCTGTTATTAAGCATGCCATGTTCCCACAGGAAGCTGTACAAGCGGTACGCCTTCTTGCGCTGCGAAGAGGAAAAAGAACAGTTTCTCTTTCATCTCCTGAGCCTGAATGCAGTGGACTACTTCTGCTTTACCAGCGTCTTCACCACCATAAGTACGTCCCAGAGAAAGAGACACGCACAGATGTGCAAACCAGGACAGTACCTACCATAGTCAATCAATGTGGATTCAAATTTTATGAATATTTAATATATAAAAACAGCATCCATAATGTCAGGCACTTGACATTGATTTGATGCTGCATTAGTTTTATTGCTGGACCAATCATGTTTAGCCATTGTCAACAGGAGGATGCATTGCAACTTATTTTTCAAGTGACCCTTTCTGTGTTTTTGTATAATGTTGTGATTCGTGGCAACCTGATTTATGCTCTTTTTGTGCCCTCAGTGATTCCGTACCGGGCCGTCATCATCCCCATCAAGAAGCTTAGTAACGCCATGACGACGTCCAACCCTTGGCTGTGTGTGTCAGGCGAGCTAGGCGACTCTGGCACCCTGCAGATCACGAAGAATGTTTTGGAAATGACGTTTGACGTGAGTGCCGTGATGTCACGCTCCAGCTGTTCTGCTCCGAAACTGATACAGCAGTTTATTTCTAGTGTTTGTTTTCCTGTGGGACTGAAACAGTCATCTGTCCTGCCATCCGCAGAATTGACTGTGCTTGCAGGTCCTTCGAACATCTGCTAAATTGAAGCTATTAATGGAAATAACTCAAAAGTTTAGCTGAACAAAATATCTAAGGGAATAAAAAAGTATATATGTATAAATATATAAAAGCATTAAAGGCCCCCTGTGGTGAAAATCAAGTTTATATGTGTTTTTAATATGCTTTAAAGGGGTAGTTAATTTTAAAAAAAAAAACTTTTGCTGATAATTTACTCACCCCCATGTCATCCAAGATGTCCATGTCTTTCTTTCTTCAGTCAAAAAGAAATTAAGGTTTTTGATGAAAACATTCCAGGATTTTATCTCCATTTAATGCACTTTTCTAGTAACCAAACGGTTCAAGGTCCAAAATACAGTTTCAGTGCAAACTGTTCAAAGGGCTTTAAACGATTCCAGACGATGAATAAGGGTCTTATCAAGCGAAACGATCGCTCATTTAATAAAAAAATAACAAAGTTTAAGTTTTATAAGCTCAAATGGTCGCCTTGCTCTGTTCTGTGTGACTCTCCTGTTCGAACTCGTTCATCAAAATGAACAAATCTTTTCCCGAGTCAATTCGTTCATTTTGTTTATTGAATGAACCAAATGACACGAAAAAAGATTTGTTCATTTTGATGAACAGGAGAGTCATAACAGAGCGAGGCAGCCATTTGAGCTTATAAAACTATTTTGAGTATAAGTGATCGTTTCGCTTGATAAAATGAGCGATCGTTTCGCTTGATAAGACCCTTATTCATCGTCTGGAATCATTTAAAGCCCTTTGAACAGTTTGGAATTTGCACTGAAACTGTCTTTTGGACCTTGAACCGTTTGGTTCCCATTTAAGTCCATTATATGGAGAAAATCCTGGAATGTTTTCATCACAAACCTTCATTTCTTTTCGACTGAAGAAAGAATGACATGGATATCTTCGATGACATGGGGGTGAGTAAATTATCAGCAAAAGTTATTTTAAAAGCGAACTACTCCTTAAGACAAACCATGTGCAAATTCAAAAGTCAACACCATTGCTGAGTATTTTCTCCTTAAAAATTCAGTGAATTAAATACCGTCTCAAAACCGCGGTATGAAATCGCTGGTATTTCTGACGTCACAAACTTTACATATTCATAGAACCACATATTCTAAATGAGGCAAGGGTATAGTTACATTCTAGCTATTTTAAAGGGAAGCAGGGAAGGAAAAGTATAAATGTTTGATTTTTGTGATGGGATTAAATTATTAACTACAATTGTTGTGAAAAAATTGTTCTTTTGCTTTGACCTTTCAAAATGTTTTTCAGATTTTCTCAAAAGATTTTCTAGATGTTCAGATTGTTTCTTTTTTTCCCAAACTGAGATGGTGATTCATGTATTAGTGATCAAAACCCCTCTCTCTATATATGCATGAATCTATAAATTTGAGGAAGGAGGTATTACTCTTACATCCCACCTCATAGAACCAATCACTGCCATTTGTCTTACTGTCAATCATCCATCATGTTCTAACTCATTCTGTGTCCTCTCGCAGTCTGCCTTTAGGCCTCACACGCACATCTCCATCGCCTTCAAGGTTAGGTGCACATCCCTCCATTTTATTCCTCCCTCTCTCTACATTCATTCATTTCTCCATTTTTCTTCTCCTCCACTTAGAGAGATCACCTCTTTTGCTTCTTTGGGTTCCTCTCTACCTTAAAATCTTCCCAAAATGTTTCGATTTGATGTGCAATATGGGGGGAAAAAAATCTAAAATTAAATGGATAGATAGTTCACCCAAAAATGTTGTTCCAAACCCCAATTTAATTTTTTTCATATTCTTCAAAATGTCAAAATGAATAAATAAATTCATACAGGTTTGGAATGACATGAGTGTGAGTAAATGATGACTGAATTTTCATTTTTGGGGGAACTATCCATTTAACATTTAAAATTAGACCAGACTAGAAAATTAGACTAACATTAACATCTGTAGAAGCCGTACAAAATGTTTCTATTATTATTTATTACTTGTATACAGGATCCAAAATGAACTCTTATGCACACTTGGTAAGTGGATTAAGAAAAAATGCCATATTTATTGTTTTCAAGTCACAAAACTGCAAGTTTTTACCCGGCAAGCCATTTTTTTCTCACATTTGGAACTTATGATGTGTTCATTTTGGACCCTGCTTGTACACTTCCGTTTAGTTAAAGGTATAGCGGAGGATCTTTCAGAATTTTAGAGAAGACCCGCCCTCTCCAATTTAAAAAAAATTAAAAAAAAATGCACATGCACAAACACAACACTCCCGACGCCTACTATTACGCCTTACACAATTATGTTGCAAATTGTAAACTAACTCAAAAATATTCATAAAAAAGACAACATGTCAAATGCCCTTCCGTGTTTTATTTACTTATTATAATGATCGATTGAGTGACCGAGGACTCAAGACATGATATGTACCCTGTATCACACATACGATCTGAGGAAACTATTTTGCAAATCGCAATTACGTTACATAGCAACATATAAGCAGTGCTATTACGTTGGTCCTTAACCTAATATGTCTCATTGTTAATACGTAGGTATTAATAAGTTATTTTTATTCTTTTTTTTTTTCTCTTTCGACCCTCAGCCATTTTCAAAGGAATGGCTGAAACCGCAACTCCGACATAATACACCTGAAAGTGAAAACTACATAGGGACGAGCACGTACGACGGCCTTACGTAAACATATCACCAGAATGATTGACACTTAGATCGACCAATAGTATAGACTACCCACCCGGAAAAAGAAAATCCTCCGCTATACCTTTAATTCTGTAAATATTTTTAGAGCCATAGGTTGCGATAGTAAATCTGAATCAGTGATGGTACATTGTACACATTCACTGTCTTGTTGTCCTTCCGCTGCTCACTTTCAAAATGCAGCACACACCCTTACACGGGTTGTTCGGTTATTCTCAGACAGCTGCTTAACGCCTCTGATATCTTTTTCGTTTATCTGTTTTGTATGTACAGCGCCAGAACCTCGGGAAGTTGACAACAGTGCAGCTGGGTCATGATAATTCTGGCTTGCTTGCCAAGTGGCTGGTGGATTGTGTCATGGTCCGCAATGAGATCACAGGCCACACGTACAAGTACGGCCTACTCTGTTCTCTTCACATTCCCTCCATCTTGTTCCTTTTATGGCTTTCTTGTTATTCACTTGTAATCCTTTCCAGGTTCCCGTGCGGCAGGTGGCTGGGGAAAGGTGTGGATGATGGCAGTCTTGAGCGAGTTCTGATCGGTGAATTTGTAGTTCCGTGCAATGATGATGAAGGAGGCCGAGGGGCTAAGACTCCGCCCCTTCAGCGATCGCCTTCACAGATCCGACGAATTAGCATCACATCACTTACAGGACGTGGAAACAGTAAGTTTAACTTGTATTTTAAAGGTGCTTTCATGAATGTTTGATTTGTCGGGGGCTTAGACTTACACTGACACCTAGTGGTTTGAATGTAGCATCACATAAAAATAAATGCTTAGCTTTTTTTTTTTTTTTTTTTTTTAAGTTTCCAGTCACTGCCAGCATTTTTGATCATTTTCACAAAACTTTTATTGCAGCCAGAATACTACAATATATCAAAAGGAAGAACACCTCCGCTTTAAAAAATAAATAAATCTTATTTTAGCTTCATGCATTCTTTTTTGTATCAACACTTGAATGCGGGTGAGTTTTTAATTTAAAAAAAATGCAACATTTTAAACAACAAAATTATTTAAATTTTGATCTGGAGATTCTCTACTCTTTCAGAAGATGTATAATGGCGCTTCCTATAACAGTTAAGACATGAAATGGCTGTGGCAGGGAAGCGTTGTCTCATAAATGACGGACAATTCTGTCAATGACAGGAAAAGAGTTAATAGTCAGCCATAATTAATTCATTAAAATGTCAAATCATGGGAGTTAGGGAAATGAAGTAGCCTATTAGTATTCGGCTGCTCATGTGATCTCAAAATGGCCGCCTCCATGAGGCAACCCTCTAAACTCTTTTATTAATCTACTGAAATGACTGTCTTCATCTAATATGAATTTACATTATTCTTAACTTAATGTTGTGAAGTACTTAGTGGTGTTCAACCTTTTTAACAATCTCTCTCTCTTCAGAACCAACAACCGTTCAGATACAGGAATCCATCGGTGAAGCAGTCAACAATATTATCAAGCATTACCACAAACCAGAGAAAGAGGTATGATGTGTCCATTTAAGAGTATCGTCACTTTGTTTTTGTGTTTTTTGAACCTAAATGTTGTCTTTCAGAGGGGCAGTCTCACGGTTCTGCTGTGTGGTGAGGGTGGTCTGGTGTGGGCACTGGAGCAGTTCTTCCAACATGGATTTCGCTCCGCTCGAATCTTTCAGAAAAATGTCTTTGTGTGGGATTTCTACGGTAAAGCTTATTAAATGTTTCCCTGTGAGAGTATATGGCACTAACTGTTACTCTAATATATTTTTGAGCTCTATACCAAAGATATTCATTCAAACATATGTTTATGTTGCCAATGAGTATTAACTTCATTCTTAGATACTTAGAATTTTTTTTTTTTATTAGCCTGTTGAGCTAACTCTGGCTCATTTACAGTTATTTTACTGTTAATTAATGAGCACTGTCCCTGTAAAATAAAAAATAAATGAAAAAAAATGAATAAATAAACTAGAAAAACTTCCTGGCTAATTTTTAAGGCTTCATTATATAGAGCTAGATCCTTTTAAAGACATTAAGCATGGGTGCTGTTTTTAAAATGTTACATTTATAAGTGAAATATTACACAGTTTATAACAAAGTTTGAATTTTTGTCCTCCAGAAGTACATTTAGGCTTTGTGTGTGTGTCTGTTAGCATATGTTTATGTGGCTTGAAATATCTAATACACTGTAAATATTTTATAATTAATTTCCTGCATAAAAACACATTACGTTTAACAAACCTGTTGCTGTGTGTGTTGTCCAGAGAGAGCAGTAGCGTTTATGGAGAATGCAGATCAGATTGGAGACCTCCAAGAAATACCAGAACCTCTTGGTCTGAATGGTGAATCTTTCTGTCGATACATCAACGCCATTAACAATATGCCACGCAACATTGGCAAGGATGGCAAATTCCAACTGCTAGTTTGCCTCGGGGCAAGGTAAGGACACACGCATGCTTATTGGTGTTTTAAATAAAACATCTGAAAGTCAAATACTCAGAGATGTCTGCATGTCTATCCCACTCTCACAGAGACCGGTTGTTGCCGCAGTGGCTCCCTCTGCTGGCCGAATGCCCCGTCATCGCACGCATGTACGAGGAGAACGCGTTACTTCGAGACAAGCTCACCGTCAGCTCTCTCGTCGGTGTCCTGGAAACGCTCAATGACTTTCCCATCACTCTGGAGACCTCCTTTACGAAAAGCGTTGAGCTGTAATTCCACATACTGAGCTCAAATTCAGACTGCTCCCCCTCTCTGCTGCCACCCTCAGGGCCAACGCGGCTCTACAACGTTACTCTGCCTTGTGCGTTTGCTGACCTGGGAAGAACTGAGGATTTATCAAAGCTTCTCTCAATCTGAGTCTCCTGCACCCCCCCCAAAGAAATGAACTCTGAACTTCAGAAGTGTGTTTTGTAGCAATATTTGGAGTTGTGCTCTTTCTAACTGTTAGAAGACTCGTTTTTTTTTTTTCCCCTGTGGATTTTGCTTTTAAAACTGTGGTCATTATGCGAGCAACGGTCATGTCCGCTAGCGTTTCGGCTTCGCATCATGCGCCGTCTCTTTTTTTTTTTTTTTGGTAAGTATGTCAAGAACTGCTGAGGAGCCTTAGTTCTGACAGAATACACGTCCGACACATTCAGACATCAAGTGTTCACAGTGACTAATCAGTAAATCGATGTCTGTGACGCGTGTTTAAACTGACGCTATCCATGTGCTGATTGGCTGGCAGTTTGAATAGATGAATTTAAGGACGTCAGTTTGAAACTTTCTCTTGGTTAAAAGCCCGTCAAATGAATTTTTCTGGAGAAAAAGGACATTCCAACATGATGTGAATCGCTGTATGTTACAAGATGTGTTTATAGTTTATGTGTGATAGAATTGTGTGTGGCTGGTTTATCAGATGAACACTTTGGGAAGATGTGTTTATGTTGCCAATGAGTATTAACTTCATTCTTAGATACTTAGAATTTTTTTTTTTTATGTTTAAGAAAGAAACACTGGAAATCAGACCTGGAAAGCAATAACAACCCCCCTCCCAGTAACCTTGGTCGCAGTTAAAATCACTCATATCTTAAATATTACAGTTCCTTGTGTGGTGCTTTAAATATAAAGTGTAAACCCTAGTAACTGGGTCACTAATTAAATGAATCACTAATTGAAAGTCTAAATGCAGCATTATTTTGTAAATCCATGTTTAATTACTGCATTACTTGCACGTTGCTTAGAAATTAAGAAATTAATGTTTGTTTATCTTTTATATGCCTCCGTTTTAATCCGGAATCCATGCTGAGAGAAATCTAGTTGTGGAATAAACACGTTTGTTACAGGATGAGTTACAACATTAAAGTTTTTTTTTTTTAAGACTCTCGGCATTTAATCTTGGACATCTGTAGTACATCAACCTGTGTATTTTCTTTCTTTCTTTTTATAATGACTCGGATCATTTGTATGTATTTATTTTCAAACAATTCGTTTGTGACGCTCTGATTTTAGATTAATTAAATCTTGTGGGGAATTATGCAGTATGCTGACACTGTATCATTTATTTATTTTATTGATGTGTTCAGACTTTGTATAGAATGGAAGATCCATCCTGTGTAAAGGTCGACTTAGTTTTAGGGCCCGGGAGTTGCTGAAATCCCAGAATCCTCTGGCTGGATGGATGAGTGCTGATGCATGTGGCGTTTTAGATCTTGGAGAAGTGCTGTTGCTGTAATTTAATTTGTTCCTTTAAATCCTTTCGGTCTCATTCCATCCATACTGGTTAATGTTGTTTTTCCCCCTGTATGAAATGCTTCATAACATCAATCATATATAATGAAAAGTTCCCTGTGTAAAAATGAGTGGGTTCCACTATCATGTTTATATTTTTGAAGCAACTCATTAAAATTGCTCCTCATGTCCAATATGTGTGTCCTCTCTGAACTTTGAAATGTGTGTGCACACCGGACTGGTATTCCAGGACAACACTCATGTCCCAGAGAACATTCCTCTATGAAGAGTCATTCTTCGTGGAATGTTATTTTTAGTTTAGGGACACGCTGATGGCATCTGTGAAACAAACGGTCAGCATTTGGCTCGTAGGAATCAAATAAGTGTTTTTAGAGAGACCTGAGATTTTGCTGTTGGGGAGAGCAGGGAGTGATTGTGATGTAATAACCCAAGAAAAAAGTTGGTATTAAAGGAGTAGTTCACTTTAAAACATTTACTCATCCCCATGTCATCCAAGATGTCCATGTCTTTCTTTCTTCAGTCGAAAAGAAATTAAGGTTTTTGATGAAAACATTCCAGGATTTTTCTCTATATAATGGACTTCAATGGGAACCAAACGGTTCAAGGTCCAAAAGACAGTTTCAGTGCAAACTGCAAAGTGTTCAAACGATTCCAGACGATGAATAAGGGTCTTATCAAGCGAAAAGATCGCTCATTTTAAAAAAAATAACAAAGTTTAAGTTTTATAAGCTCAAATGGTCGCCTTGCTATTTTCTGTGATGCGCGTCCGTGACTCTCCTGTTCGAACTCATTCATCAAAATGAACAAATCTTTTTTTCCGTGTCATTTGGTTCATTCAATGAACGAAATGAATGAGATGACTCTAAAAAAGATTTGTTCATTTTGATGAACGAGTTCGAACAGGCAAGGCGAGCATTTTAGCTTATAAAACTTAAACTTTGTTATTTATTTATTAAATGAGCGAATGTTTCGCTTGATAAGACCCTTATTCATCGTCTGGAATCGTTTGAACACTTTGCAGTTTGCACTGAAACTGTCTTTTGGACCTCGAACTGTTTGGTTCCCATTGAAGTCCATTATATGGAGAAAATTCTGGAATGTTTTCATCAAAAACCTTGATTTCTTTTCGATTGAAGAAAGAATGACATGGACATCTTGGATGACATGGCGGTGAGTAAATTATCAGCAAACGTTTTTTTTAAAAAGTGAACTCCTTTAATGGCAATTTTAAATTTGACTGATTTGTACTCATTAATGCACAAAATTCAAATTGTTCATGTTTTCTGTTTGTATTATAAACACTCCCTCTACTTAATAATTGACAGTTTAAAGGGATAGTTGTATGAATTACCAGTATGATTTTTTTTTTTCTGTTGAACATAAATATATTTTGGAACCAGTTTGGAAAAACTTGAGGGTGAGGCTAAATGATGACAGAATTTTAATTTTTGGGTGAACCATCTATTTAAGAATAGTTGGTACACAAGTCTTTTTCTAAACTATTTTTTTGCAAGCAAATAAAGAAATATATTACATTTTGATGGGGAAAACGATCAAACTGGTCGAAATGTTGGTCTAATGTCGTTACGTTCCTTCAGTCTATTTAATTACGCTGCAGCAGCAGCGGGGCCAAAACAACCCGGCTATCTCAGTCAAACTTCTTTCGTGATGATGAATAGGCTATATCTTAGAGACGAAGCTGCGGACATGTGCTCATGGCTGACGGACACACAGTCACGGAGCGAGAAGAAGGATGTGCTGCTGTGCTGCTGCGTTTGTTCCGACATCTGCTATGTCCTCGTAGTAGTAGAGCATAACTCCGCCCACCGGGATCTCAGCGCACTGGCTGCTGCCCTAGCAACCGGACCCGCCCACGTTTCCCGCGTAATTTTCTTCTCCTTTTATGGGCAATAGAATGCAGACGCAGTCAAACGTCAGCAGCGTATGCAAATGAGGTTGATTGAAGAAATTCAGAAAATGGTGGATGGACGTCCGCGCATGCGTAAACATTTTACTATACTCAGACAGAAAGTGAGACAGTAACGAGTGGCGCATTGTTAAATGTGTAACGCTTGTAACTCTTGGATTTCGCTGTGTGGTTTGACTTCAACTGATCCAAGTCGAGGTAAGAATAAAGGTCTTTTTTGTAAAAGTTATTTTGTGCAGAAGATGTCATAATTCGCCTTTCGTAAGGCCCCCTTAAGAAGTTATGTGACAGTGCGATGCCCGGTTGAAAGCTGTCGCGTTTATCAGAAATGTGTAAGATCACTTTTGAAGCTTGCTGGAAATGTTTAACATTTTGCTGTAGAATTAAAGCGTGCGGTAAGTTTAGTGTTTACATGCTGCCTATAGGTTACACGGCGCTACACATTTTAGGGCGCTTGCATCCTTTCCTGATGATCGCTTTTAAGTGTTTGATAACAGAATTAATTTATTTGAAGCCAGAGTTGACTTTTATTTCACTAGTCAGAACAGACACTAACAAAACAGATGAGTATTTTGACAGAAACGGACAATGTTGCATATTAAAATAAACAATTTGCGTTCGTAGTCTGGTTGAAAGCATATATAAAATTACAGTAGTGAACATGCACGTTCAAATATGTGTATTTGGTGTTGCATGCATTCGTTAAAACAAGTTTAGTTGTACTCGTTTTGAACTTGCGATGCCGTCTGACTGCGTGTGGTCTCTTGCTCTGCTGTTGGTGGGTGTGCTTCAGTTCAAAACAAACCCGCATTTTCACAAGCTCATCAACAGCATTTACAAACTTCTGCTTTACTAACTCAATGAGTTCAGCGTTCATGTAATGGCTAGAGCTCTGCTACTGTTAGATGTTCGTTTAATGTGAGATGGAGGCGGTGTCACTGACGCATTTAAACGTAGAGCAAAGAAAATCGATATTTAATTTTAGCATTCTGAATTGTATAAAAAGTGTATTAAGTTGTCATATTAAGGACATACACATGCAAATGCGTGTTTTGTTGCAGTCAATGCTCTTCTTCAGCGAATTTGTTGCACGGTCGGACCGCATGTGTTTACAGTCTTGAGCGCGAAGCATGGAGTCGCACGAGCCACTGACGCAGAGTCGCGCGGAAAACAAAGAGCAGCGGTCGAGCAGTTCGACTAAATTCAACCGTGCTTCATCTTTGAGCACAACTGGCACCCAGGAAAGTACGCGAATGAGTTGCTCGTACAGAGCAGGGTAGTTTGTCGGTAAAACTGTGGTGAAAACATGCTGAATGTGTGTGTTTAAAGAAGCCGTGTGGCTTGCCATGCTTCCGCGCGAGCTGGTGGGCGGTGAATGAATACGGCGGGACACACGCACCATTTCACTGCAGTGCGCGCGCGTGTACATTTAAACATCGCGAAACATTGATGATGTCCGTTCGATGTTATCTGGATAACTTTAGATGACACACTTGGATGTGTTATGGCACTTTTGATCATGGTTTCCGCAACGGCATGGCTTTACTTTATTGCCCCCATTTTCTGCCCCTCCTCTCAAACGCGTTGCCATGTTGAATTGCGTCAGAGCAGAACTCACACTGTACAGAGCCTAGGCTAAATGTTAGAAATCTCTCTCTCTCTCTCTCTCTCTCTCTCTCTCTCTCTCTCTCTCTCTCTCTCTCTCTCTCTCTCTCTCAATATATTTTTTCTATATTTAATTTAAATAAAAATAGAATGGTTTGACTTTGGACAGATGCTAAGTTCCTCAGTAATGACCCAGTTATACTGTATGAATTATTTGATGCCTCGTACTGTCACCGATCTGTCGATGCGCGAGGCCACTGGTATTGTCCGGCTCCATCGTCAGCACGAGGTTATATAAGACGGAGCACTCGGTCCATTAAGCTCTTATCCCATTGACGTGATGATGACTGATGATAACCCATATTTCGTCTCTCTCTCTCTCTCTCTCTCTCTCTCTCTCTCTCTCTCTCTCTCTCTCTCTCTCTCTCTCTCTCTCAATTCAATTCAATTCAATATAGCTTTATTAGCATGACTGTGTAACACAATGTTGCCAAAACATCAACATATTATATATAAATAATATATATATTATCTATTATCTCTCTCTATCTCTCTCTGTGCAATAGGTTATTCTATATGTATAGGCCTATGCACACACATAAATACGGCTGTAATAACTATATTTAACAGCACATAATACATTTACTTTTATACGTATAAAGTAATATGTACATGTGTGTATACATATATAAAATGTATGTACAGAAATTATAAAAATAGTATGATAAATACAAGACAACAATAAGCAGTTGTGTAATTTTTAACCTATATTTCTATGACAACTTTTTTAACTATTACATTAAAATTACAAAGTGTGTTTATTATAATTATTAGTACATTTATTGTTGTTGTTGTTACACTGTTGTTATTACACTGATAATAATGAGGACCATAACAGTAACTTCGTTTGGGACTACTATGGTAAGGTGCAGCCAATGTGTTTAAACGTGTGCGTTAAATCATTCTGAATCATCCGAAGTACCAAAAAGAGAGTTGTTTTTCTTGTGTCACAGATGTTTGGCTTTCATAAGCCAAAGATGTACCGCAGCCTTGATGGATGCTGCATCTGCAGGGCAAAATCCTCCAGCTCTCGTTTCACTGACAGCAAACGCTACGAGAGAGACTTTCAGAGCTGCTTTGGGTGAGTATATCTCTTGTGTGTGTGGTTTATTTGTATTAACATGATATTATCATCTGCCTGGTTATATTACAGTAAGTACAGGATTTGTATATTGTGTCTCTAGTCAAGAGATCAGACCTATTCTCTTAGAAGAATGAGAAAATAATGTTTGTTCATAACATGAAAACTTTGATGATATACATATGCATGCTGCTATTACAATGATATAACAATGGGATACTTCTACAGTTTAGGTGAGACTCGCTCTGGTGAAATCTGCAACGCTTGTGTCCTGCTGGTAAAACGCTGGAAGAAGCTTCCCGTCGGCTCCAAGAAGAACTGGAATCATGTAAGTGCCGCTGATTTAACCAGGAGAGTCTTTTCAAATCCATTCTCGAACCTTATTGTTTTAAAGCAGCTTCCCTATAACATGATAAAGTAGATGCAGATGAAACCTTGGGAAGAAATGGGAATCCTAAGGATGACACATATTTAAACAATTTTCTACATATACAAATGTGTATTTGAACAGATGTAATAGTACTAATAATAATTAGCTATATTGTATTACGGTATTTCAATTCAGTATGATTCTCATGATAAAAAATGAAATCTAATGCAATTAATATGATAAGATATGTAATTATGTTCGCTCCACTGATGAAACTGTTGTAGGTGATCTTAACGATAATAATAAATATAGATTTATGTTTTGTTTTTATATAAGTATGTTATTTAAAAATAGTTTTTATATAGTATAATATAAATTATATGACAATAATTAAATAAATTAAACAATCATAAACCTGATCTATACAGAACACATATTAATATAAATATTATTATTGTTTTGTTTAACTAAAATAATTGTGTGAAAATTAAATAAATAAATTAGGGCTGTCAAACGATTAATCACGATTAATCGCATCCAAAATAAAAGTTTGTGTTTCCATAATATATGTGGGTGCACTGTGTATAATTATTATATATATATATATATTAATACACACACATGCTTGAATATATTTAAGAAATATTTTCATGTATTTAGATTTATATATAATTTATATTATATATAAATATACAAATTTTATATAAATAATATTTTTGTCTTGCATATACATGCATGTGTGTGTATTTATATAAATATACAAAATAATTATACACAGTGCACCCACATATATTATGTAAACGCAAACTTTTATTTTGGATGCGAGCAATCGCGATTAATCATTTGACAGCCCTAAAATAAATATTACATTTGAATATGGAGATTGTTTGTTATTGTTATCAGGTGGTTGATGCACGAGGGGGACCAAGTCTGAAAACTACAGTGAAGTCAAAGAAAGTCAAATCCCTATCCAGGCGGATCAGACCGAACCAGATCAGCAGAGTTCAGAAGGAGCTAAAGAGACACAGTGAGTACTGAATCACAAAACTAAATCAAACAAAACATGAAATTGCTCTCGGCATGTTCCTCATAAAAATGTCTTTGTTAACAGATTCAGACGCTCACAGCACCACCTCCAGCACCAGCCCCGCCCAGTCGCCCAGCTACAGTAACCAATCAGACGAGGGTTCTGACTCTGAGTTGACTCCTGGCTCCGCCCGCTCTCCAGTCTTTTCCTTCCTGGACCTGACATACTGGAAGAGGTATTCACTCTGCCGAATCAAGTTTGACCTTTCAATGTTCGTCGGAACGAATACTTTTAATTGACATGAGTTTGTTTTCAAATCTCTCTAGGCAGCGGGTATGTTGTGGCATCATCTATAAAGGTCGTTTCGGGGAGGTTCTGATTGACCCACATCTCTACAAGCCCTGCTGTCAGAAAAAACAGGAGCAAGAGCAGGAGGAAGAAGAGGAGGAAGAAGAGGAAGACGAGGACCTTGAGAAAGAGGAGGTGCAGAGCAGTCAAGAAATCCTCTCGTCTATTCAACCGCACTCCTCTTCCCAAATAAAAATGGAACAGGAAGTGGATGAGGAGTGGTGATGCCACATTCCCAGGGTACTGAATTGGCATTCTTAAGAAGCCTTCGAGAGTCAGAGGCGTAGCGTTGCCCCCTCAGACGCTCTCAAAGACGTTCTCTCGGATTGCCTTCGATTCATGAGCAGCTGGATCCTTGTTTTTTTTTTTCCTCCTTGTTGAGAATGTGTCTCTTTCATTTCCTTTGCAGTCGAAGCAACCTTTATTTATCAAACCGACTGAAAACCTTCCTTGTTTTTCAGAGCCTGGTACCACACAATTCCAGTTCACCCCTTCTTTTTTTGTAGATCAGGGAAAATGAGTTTGCTTTTTTCGCTATCTCACTCAATTCAAACACAGAATGCTGGATCTACATATCATGCATAGAAATGTGGAGAATACAGTGACCACAATCCTACCCTGTCACTTTTCTCCCCTTGAGCACCATTGTGCCCTTCCTCTGGGGTGACTGTGTCTGCAGTGGATAGTATGTAGGATATATTCCACCATTCCAGCTGGGATATAGCCATTATTTAGGGAAGCTTCTGATCTTAGCCTTTTATATATTTATTTTGTTCTGTCTTCGTCTTTATTTTTAAGGCCTGCTCTGTTTGTTCCCTCTCTTGGTTTGTAGTTAATGGGACAGGACACTGAAAAATGTTTAAAAAAAATCTGTCATTCACCCTCATGTTGTTTCATATGGAGCGCCTAAAGGGACAGGGCGATGGAAAAAATCTGAGATGGGAGGAAAAATATATTTCAAGGCTTTTGAAGTTTCACGTTCGCTGGCAAAGAACTTTGTGAGAACGCAAAAGCATCAACACACAATTTTTCCTCCCTTCTCATTTTTTTTTCCCATCACCGTGTACTTTTAGGGACTAATTATTTTCTGAAGAACATCTGGCTGCTTTATTCCATATAATGGAAGTGAATGGGGACTAGGGTTCACTGAAAAAAAAAAAAAAGATTAATACGTTATAGAGAGCCTAAGTCCCTCCCCTTCCGGTCGACCACCATGGGACCTTATTTCGGAAAAATATTGAATGGTAGTCAATGGCGAGAGACAACAAATATTTTGATCTCGTTTGAAATGTGCCCTGAATTACACATATGATGTTTGTCAATTTAAAAGATACATTTTAAAGTAAAGAAAGTTGCAGTTTGATGTAAAACTGTTGAGGTATAAGACGTAATTACAAAGACTACAAACCCCAAAGGCGCACATTTTTTTCTCAATGAATGAAGCTAACTTTATTGAGGCTGTCTGTCATTGTTTCTACAGTCTTACGTTATAATCGTAACGTTACGCCGTCCTGCCTAAGTGTTTTGTACCAGACTGCACACACACGAGCAGCGGATCTCGTTTCGCTTCCCGGGAGATGTAGTTCACAGAGCGATTTTCACATAAACCTAAATGTTACTCTTCTGTTGTATGACAACCTGCGACGTTTTTGACTTTCAGAATTATCTTTTAAATTGACAAACATCATATGTGTAATTGAGGGCACAGTTCAGACGGAATAAAAAAGATAAGTTGTCTCTCGCCATTGACTACCATTCATATTTTTTTTCCGAAATAAGGTCCCATGAGCCGGAAGCGGAGGGGCGGGACTTAGGCTCTCTATGACAACAAATGTTTTTACATTGCTCAAAATAAGTTAAGCAATTTTCAACTTTTTTTCGGTGAAATTATCCAAGATTCAGCTCATTTTTTACGTCAGTTTAATGTAATTTAAGTTGCAAATGACTTAAACATCCAAGTTGATTGTACTTTATTTAACACAGCAACAATTTTTTTCAGTGTTGTCTAACTCCAAAATGACAAAAAGCACCTGAGTAGTATCTAAAAATGGACTTGTGTGCTGTATTACAATTAATTCCTTTTAAAGCCATATGTTCGCATTAAATGTAGTCCTTATGACTTTTGACAGACTTTTATGGTGCAATTTGAAGATTGATGCTTACAGTTCAAAAAATATTGCAGGATGTTCATTCAAAAAAAAATCACATTTTTGCGTTTAATGTAAGAAAAGTTAATGATGTGAAGGTGAATAAATCATGGCAGGCTTTTTTTTTTTTTTTTTTAACCCTGATTTCAATGCAGGATTTCTGTATTCAGCCACTAATGGGCACCAAACTCAACACCTAGTGTTTTACTGCAAACATTTCCTCACTGAACCAGACTGGGAATGGCCAGCCAAACATGATGCCTGGTTAGCAACACTCTTGTATTCAGCGTACTAATGTAAATATCCAAAAGTGTAGATTTAAGGTTTTTGGTAAAGATCAGTGTCGAGCATGAACGCTATGGAAAATATTGTCTTGATAAAATTCTGCATGTATTTTGCATGGCCTTCTAAGGAGATTTTTTTTATGTTGTTTTGCAATGAGTTGGGCAAATTTTGAGACGGACCCAATATATATTTTTGTATGTAAATGCAAGAAAAGAACAAAAATGAAACCAACTTTGAGATGACAGTGATGTTTAATTATGACAGTTTTAATTGTCTTCAAATATTTTTTAAAATTGGATATTTTCAATATGGTCTCACTCAAAGCCAAAAAGCCCAACGTTTTGCTATTTATACTGTCATCATATATAGCCTACAGTATGTGTTCATATCCCTTCCTCTCTGTGAGTGTGTGTGTGTGTGTGTGCGTGTGTCTGTATAAATTTTAGCACATGATCTGATCGTTTTGTTTTTTTATTTTATAAGTTTTTGTTAATTATGCTCCAGGGAAAACACTTTTCAAAATACTAAAAAGCTAAATCAACAGCTTGTACATTGTCATTATAAATTACTAGTCTATAAGCTTTCATATGAGGAGTATAAATACTATATTTCATAGTTTTCCCCTATGGTCCAATATGCCTGTCCTGTCAGTTTTTATTATTATTATTATTTTATTGTTTGTGATTGTACAAATTATGTTGGCGCACACATACTTCTGTTGAAATCCAGGTGGTGGCGTTAGAGAGTCAATTCCCACAAAACACTCACTTGCACATTAATTTTAATTTTCTCTCTGGGCAATCTATTTAATATCTGCTCCGTTTTGAAATGGGTATTTTGATGGTGGCAGCTTGTGGCTTTAGTGTGAATATGCCATATCATGGAATGACATATGACTGTATTTGTGGTAACATCCTTTCAGCTGAAGCACCTTTATATGGAGTTTCTATCGTGTCATCTCTATGACGACATTATTTGTAAATATAAGATGTGTAAGACTGGACAACGATGAGTTATGATGAATACGCTTTTGTCTTATTTATTTCATATTTATTTGTTTTGTTTTGTGGTCTTGTTTCCTTTTAAGTCTCATCAGAATTTGTGGACTGACCTGTCTGTCCTAACAACACTGCAATATGGACTGAAAATGCTTTTACACATGTCACAGATATAGGCTGAGATTCACTAAACGTTGTGGAGAACTTCAGGACTGGATAGCTGTAAAAACAAATGTTTGTGTGTGTATGCTAAGTACAACAATTTGATTTGATTATTTTTATACTTTTGAGGGTGTCTAATGCCCACATACCTTTCCTTAGCCTAGTCCTTTAGTTGTAGTGCTACAGGCATGTATGGTAGCTATGCACTTTGTATTCACATTATTAGAGATATATGAAGCAGGTTTTGTATTTTTTTACATATTGTACTTTTTACTTGTTCCTCAATAAATGTAACTTGTGATGGTTACACTTGTTGTGTGCATGTATGCATTTGGGAAGTGAACCCATGACCTTGGCATTGGTGACAGTGCCATGCTATTTATACAAAAACTGTAGCTAGATCATACCAATAAATAAGCTAACGATGGCTATAGAGAATGGTGTTTGCAACACAAAGGATGTGGGTTCAGTTCAGGTAATACATGAACTTCATGATGAAATACACTACTGTTTTGGGTCAGTAAGAAGGAATTCATATTTTTATTTAGCATGGATGCATTGAATTAATTAAAGTGTATAATAATAATAAATAAGACATGAGAAATAGATCATATTTCTTGAGCACAGAATCAACATATTACAATGATTTCTGAAGAGTAATGATGCTAAAAAAAATCAGCTTCGACATCATAGATTTTAAAATATATTCAAACAGAAAACAATTTTAAGCTGCAACAATATTACTCTTTTTACTGTTTTTGTGATCGAATAAAATTGAAGGCCTTGCAGAGAGCATATAACCAACCCCAAACATTAAATTATTATTTTTTTTAACAACAAATGCCCCTTATGATGATATTTGAAATGGTGACACACCATAAATATCATTATTTGAACCCATTTTAGAGCATAAAGGGAAGTAAACAATCTCAGATAGATAGATAGATAGATAGATAGATAGATAGATAGATAGATAGATAGACAGATAGATAGATAGATAGATAGATAGATAGATAGATAGATAGATAGATAGATAGATAGATAGATAGATAGATAGATAGATAGATAGATAGATAGATAGATAGATAGATAGATAGATAGATGAGAGAGTGCTGAGGTTGCGCGAGGGCACTGTCTGTCTGTGTTGGCTGAGTGACGTCATGATTGCTCCTCCAGCTGAGCTGATGGGTTTCCTCTTCTCTGAGGGCATAAAAATGTGAGGCTGCTGCTGTCTGTCCTCTCTGTTTACCTATCGCTTTATTTCGTCTTTCCTCCAGCTCACCGAAAGGCTGTCTCATTTTTGCTTTTGACTCTATCCCACCCAAGTCATCCCAACGATCTGAATCGCAGCAAACAAACTCCCTCACCGGCAGAGACGCATGAGGTCGGTGAGATGTCTGTTGAGAGTGAGAGTTATGTTGTATGCATCTGTGCTTTACTTATATGGGTTCTCTGCGCGTGCAGTTTGGGTGGTGGCACCCCGTCGACGGTGTTTGTGGAGGATTATTCTGGAAAACATCCAACTCGTGTCGGATAAATGCTTTGAAAGTTGCGATTTACAATATTGCAGCTGCTCTTTTTTAAATGCAAGTTATTGTAGCTTGATTTGGTGGTATGCTGCATACAAACTATGCTTATGGACGCTAGAATTGCATTTGACGTTCTATGAATATGACCGTAAATGATTACAATTTACATAGTGATTTCCGGCCCTTGATTAGCCTTTTGTTGTTGCATTTGTTAGTCTATCATGTAAATGCCATGTCATGGTTGGTGAGCACTGGCGAATGTCCAGACACATAGAGTTTATCTTATGATGCAGTTATCATACAGTATGTTCAGGCTATGCTTTTCGTGCCTAACTTCTCAATATGTCTGGTGATATATCCTTTTCAGTATTGTCGTTGGGTTACTGAACTCCTTGTATGATAAACAAGCATACATTATATATGGTACTATACACATGCTTTTAAAGGGGTAAAAAAAACATGTAAGAGTCTGTCTTTTTATTTCCACAATACATAGTGTGACCTTTCCACTCATTCCCCGGTCTATCAGAGAGACTAAGATCATGGTTCAGCTGTCACCATCTCGGACCATAGAGACGTTGACTCCCTCAGAGTTGACCGTGGAGAAGGAGGATGGCCTGGACAGCCCTAAATCCGGGTCCCCTCGAGTGCTCACCGCCCTCCAGCTCGCCCTTAATCCGTCCGCAACCACCTACTATGGCTACGAGAAGTACATCGAGGACGGCCTCATCTGCCTCAAGCACAAGATCCGTAACATTGAGAAAAAGAAGGTGCCTTAATTGTTATTTGGGCAGATATGGCATGAAAGAATGAGTTTTATTATAGTGAAATTGGTTTTGTTTTTACTCGTAGAGCATCAAAAGACCTTCTGACTTCAAAACAAAGTTTGTTCTTTTCTCTTTTTTCAGCTGAAACTGGAAAGCTACAATCAGAGGCTGAAAAAGGGGGAAAAACTAAATCAAGACCAACTGGTAATCTTGTCTTATTTTATGTGCTGCATTTTGGGAACTTGTTTCAAGATCCCTGATGTGTGGTAATGTTGTAGGAGGCTGTGGGCAAGTACGATGAGGTTGTCCACAATCTTACATTTGCCAAAGAGCTCCAGAAGACCATTAGTGCCCTCACACAAGATGTAAGACTTATGCATTTGTAAAGTATTGTGCAGAATGGAATTGGTGCTGAATGGTTCATGGGATCTTCTGATGCTCTCCGCCGTAGTTGTTGAAGGCTCAGCGGAAGATTGTTCGCCAAGAGAAGATCATGAGGATCGAACAAGACCGGAAGCGCCTGAGCTTGATTCTCCAGGTGCAGTACGTCCTCAACAGCCTGCAGAGAGAGGACGTCCGGAGGAACTTCTGCAACTCCAGACAACATTCCCGTTACCTGACCACAAAGGACACCGAGAGTTTGCTGGATCTGGCATCGTTATTGGGATGCAAACGAGACCATAAGATGAGGTTTGTGCTACACCTGATAATGCCTTCAGCTCTACACTCTCAGAAAAAAGGTACAAAAGCTGTCACTGGGGCTGTACCTTTTGAAAAGGTAAACTTTTGTCCGTTTCATGAGCTAATAAGTACATTTTAGGTGTTAATATGTACCCTTTGGGTGCTAATATGTACATTTTAAGTGTTAATATGTACATTTAAGTGTTAATATGTACATTTTAGGTGGTAATATGTCCATTTCATGAGCTAATGTGTAAATTTCGTGAGCTAATATGTCCATTTCAGGTGGTAATATGTACATTTGAGGTGCTAATATGTACATTTTAAGTGTTAATATGTATATTTTAGGTGCTAATATGTACATTTCATGAGCTAATATGTCCATTTTAGGTGCTAATATGTACCACTAAGGTACCAATATGCAGCCTTTGGGTACAAAAGTGTACCTTTTGAAAAGGTACAGCCCCAGTGACCGCTTTTGTACCTTTTTTCTGAGAGTGTATAGTCAAAGTTTTTTTTTTTTTTTTACGTGTTTGATTTTAATACACCCGTGTCATTTTTACATGGCTCTCTGGAATTCTTGATTCTGATTTGTCAAACATGACATTCTGTGATCAAGCATAGTACTAAACTCCCATATTGTTTGTCTGTTACCAATAAAGTCGTTTTCAAAAATGTAAGATCTAGTGTCAAAATGTCAGTTGCGTAGCGGTCAATGGAGGGACAGAAAGATGTCAGATTTCATCAAAAAGATCTTCAATTGTGTTTTGAAAATGGACAAAAGTCTTACGGGTTTGGACGTCATGAGGGCAAGGAATGACTATTTACATTTTTGGGAGAACCATCTCTTCAATATGGAGCAGCCTGGAGATGCGACTTTTGTGTTCGGTGTGTAATGGTGGGATGATTTACATTAAAAATGATACAAGAGCCCTCATTTATTGTGCAATAATGACTGGTTTGACTATGTTGTCCTCAACATGACTATCTGTGGGTGCTGGTTATTTTGAATGCTACTGTATCACAGTACTGTATTTGGTGTCTATTCAGCCTGTTGATATGCTGTGGTCTTCCTGTTGTTTCCCGCTCTAGTTTAGAGGATCAGATGGAACAGGCTGCTATTGTTTACGCCGAGCTGCTGGAAGGGAAAGAAAGACCAGTTGCTGGCTCAACTTGTGAGTTTCTAGCGCATTCTCTGATTGTCAAATTAATTTGATTGCTTTCCATGTCTGGAATCTAATAAGCCAGTTTTTTTTTTTTCCCCCTTCTATAATTATATAGACCATTTCACAAGATGTAAACAACACTGGTCCAGAAGCACTTCCTGTTTCAGTTTTTTAATACTACATAAAAGCTGGGATAAAATACAACCGACAGAACATTTAAAACTGAATCAAAAAGTTAAACAAACATCTTTAAGATGTTTTCTTTACATGTGAAATAAACAAAACAGTTACAAACTGAAGCAGGAAGTGCTTCTGGACCAGTGTTGTTTACATCTTGTGAAATGGTCTATAAGGTCGCATTATTGCAGGTTAAGTGTCAATTGTTTACACTAGTGATTAATTTTTCATAAGTCACTGGTATATTATTACTCAATATATTATTACCATTAATAACCCAGGTTGTGCAAGTCAGCAAAAATAACTTTTTATTTATAATTGTGTTGATGAAGGTGGGTTTGAGCCTTACTAATAGGGCTGTGAAGGCTCAAAGTAAAATGTTTTGAATGTTTCCACAGATAAGCACATGAAGGAGAAGCTACTTCAGCTAGTGGACTGTGGCTTTTTTGACCACCTACCACTTCCTAAAGTTGAAATTCAAGAGAAGACTGAGGCCGTGAAGGCTGACCCTCCATCTAGGCCTTGTAACCTCTCCAGTGAGATTTATTCAAATTTAAAGCTGCAGTCTGATCCAAAATACATATGCATAACCAGCCAGTTTTCAAAACCATCTGCTTGCCTTAGCTCGATTCAGAAAGGCTACAGAAAAAGAGACCCATGCGAAAACAAGGATACATGTCGGAAGGACGCTACATGTAGTCACGCATTACTGACGTTGTTAACTTTAACAATTTGAGACGATTCGGTTTTGCGTGATACAAGCGACTTTTAGTTTAATAAGTGTGATTTACTGCAATGTCAGAACTAGAACAAAGGTGGATGTTCCTTACTTGTTCAGATGACATTTTCAGATGAAAATTATGTAGGTCATACTTCCAAAAAGAATAATCTGTGATTCTGAATGCCAGTATCCACACCGGCGCGGTGACTGACAGCTGCACTTTCTCAAACATTGTGTTTATCCGCGCTGTGACGTGACTTCTCGTGTAAAGTTGATAATTCTGCCAATAAATGTAATTGCAGACTTCGAACAGAGATGGCGACAGAGTAAAACCTGCAGAATGCAGCTTTAACATCTTTTAAAAATATTTTCAGCAGCCATTATTTTGCCCTAATACATGTCATTTATTATATATTTCTGTGTTTTAGCATTAGTGAAGCTGAGCTCAAAAGAAGTCCCTCCCAAAGAGGTAAAAACAAGTGACACTGATCCTTCAACGCTATAAACTGTGTTTGAGTAACACACGCAGGTCAGTAACTTCTGAATGATGGCAGTTTCTTAACAGACGATACCTACCTGAAACGAACGTCGCCGAGCATAGACCGGATGAGAAGGCTTCGCCCCGTAACTGGAAGGATGACTTTTTGGCTATGAAGGAAAGGGAGCCACCGGACTCATGGGAAATGGAGTTTTCTGATCCTCCTGTATCCTCTCAGTCCCCCATACAGAAGCCATGGAAAGGGGCAGCAGGATTGATTCCTAAGACCACAGACATCCGTAAGAGACCCACGGTTGACCCCAAGGAGGTGAAAACCTTTCTTTTTTATTTATTTTTCATTTTTATATTTGTGGGACCCCCAAGTATGATGATCCCCCTTGCTTAAATACAAAGGCAGCTATATTATTTTCATGAATACGGACCAATTTATACTAATTAAAGTGAAATGGAAATGCAAATTAATAAAATATCTGCAAAATAACAGCGTTTACCTTACCCTATATTGATAAATACTAAATAAATATATATGTTTTTTTTTTTAATAAAAAAAATTTATTTAAAGTGCCCTTTTTTTTTTTAATTGAGGAATATTTTGCGGGCTGTAGTTTTAGAACCCATTAAAAATGTTGCTGCTTATACGACTGATCTCGCATGTTGGCAATTATTTGGGCAACTGTTTAATATGCAACAAGGTAATCTTCTATCTCTCCTCTAGAAACGTCAAAAGAAGACCAAGGTTGAGCAGGACTCCAAATCGGTGCGTTATTTAGAGCCATCAAACTCATTTATTCCAAAGCAATTTAATCATTGTTTTTATGCTTTATACTTTCAGACTCCCGTCGCAGTGGAAGTCTTTAGCTCTCCATCTCCGCTACCACAAGACCCTGTTCAGCGTAAACAGCAGCTGGAGACTCTAATGGACCAGATCTCTGGCTCATTCAGCTTCATGCAGGCATGCATTAAAGGGGATTTTTAAATTAAAACACAATACTTCATTCAATTTAGCCATTTTGGTTGAAACGAAGATCTTTTAGAAAGTAAGTGTTCTGAGACTTTTCCTCTATTCTGTTTGCAGGAGTCTCATCTGGATGGAGAAACTTCACCTGGAAACGGTCGTGCAAGGAGATGCCGTCCATCTCCAGGCTGCTCTACTCCTCTTGGTACATGAGCGCTCCATATTGAAGAGACGGTTCTCCCAAAAAATGTCAATTCTGTCATTACTCGCCCTCATGTCGTTCCAAACCCGTAAGACTTTAGTTCATTTTCATAACACAAATGAAGATCTTTTGTCCCTTCATTTACAGCTACGCGACTGACATTTTGTCACTTCTAAATGTTCTTAAGAAAATCCATATGAATAGTGCTTTAGTCCAAATTTTCTTAAGAGTTTTGGTCGCTTTATTTGATGAACGGATTTAATTTAGGCATGAGGGAGAGTAATAATGGTGAACTATCTCCAAGTTACACATCAAGATTATGATGGCATTAAACTGATATTGATAGTCTGCTGCTTTTAACATGCAGCACAAAGGGAACTGCCAAGAAGCCCGTCGGATAGTCTTCCTCCATCCCAGCTGGTGAGCATGTTTGACTTGATATGAGAGCTTATTTTGTGTATAACAATAAAAACATGAGGTCAGCATTCTGTCTGTCTGTGATCGTAGAGCACTCCTTTACAGATCCTGCTGTCTGGCGAGGGTAAAGGCTGTCTGTCAAATGGAGACCGTTCTATAACCAGCTCTGACCTGGATCTACACCATGAAGATAAGCCACATGTAAAGATAATTTTTTTTGTGTGATGGTATAGGTATTGAATGTATGATGCTAAAAGGTAGGCTGGTAATCTTAAATATGCTATAATGGTATCTGCTGTGTTTGTTAGAAGCAAAGTGAGGGCTTCACCTCTCCTCCGCTGTACCGCAGGGGATCCTCCATCTCAGTCCCTCTTGAAAATCAAGGCACTGTACAGGTATGAACTTCATGGACAAAGAATCTCATTCACGCTCCTAAACCTTACAGAGATTGAACTGGGGATTTATTTTGTATTTGAGATTTTAAAGGGATACTCCACTTTTTTTTGGAAACAGGCTCTTTTTACCAGTTAAACAGTTGGGTTTTACCGTTTTCGGATGCATTCAGCCGATTTTCTGATATTTAAAAGAATATCAGTAACCTGACAGTTTCTGGTCTCATTGACTTAAGTCGAGACCAGAAACTGTCAGGTTACTGATATTCTAAAACCTCTAAATAACATTTAAACTGTAAAGGGATACTTTACAGGGTAAAACCCAACTGTTTAACTGGTAAAATGAGCCAATTTCCAAAAAAAGTGGAGTATGCCTTTAAGGTTTAAATGTTATTTAGAGGTTTTAGTTGTGTACATTTCATTTGGATATTTAATATTCTCATTTTCCACTTTTTATGATTAGATTACTTTTGCCTTAATCTAGCGCTCACTTAAAGTTAATTTTTAAAATACCTATAGTCTAATCTTTACCTAACATCAAAATGAACGGCAGTTTTTATACTGTACTGTACACTATGTTGTCATGCCTAAATTTCTCATTTAGGTTTCAGACAGAATTTTAAGTTTAAATTTGCAGCCTTGCAAGAAAGTGATGTTTAAAAGTTTCTAACCTTGAGCTCTGGAGATTTTAGAAGATTTTGTGGCTTCAAGTGGAAGTTTAAATGACTAGAGATTAGAGCCAGACCGATATATCAGCCGGCCGATATTACGCATTTTCCAAAATATCGGTATCGGCAGTTATAATGGCCGATAAATATTTAAAAAATAAAATAAAAACAGAAAAAACACGCTTCAATCATCTCTCCTTGGCCTGTTGTATTGAAAATGTATGTTTTACAATTTGCAGTATGATGTTCTCTATTGCTATAGACTAGCTAACCACAAAGCTAGCTAATGCCACTATCATCAGTGGAAGACTGCTAACGTTAACATTAATGAGCTTGGAAACCACAATGAACTTTTTGTGCCTAAATAAAGTAATGATTACCATATTTATAACTAGCATATCTCTAGTTATAGTCCCTGCATTGTAAAATGTAAGTTTATATTTATGATATATATTTAAAATGTCCAACAATATTTAATAAAAAAAAAATATCGGCTGATATATCGGATTTTAAAACCCCAAAATATTTGTATCGGTATCTGCCTTCAAAATCCTTTATCGGTCGGGCTCTACTAGAGATGTCAACCTTGACTTTATTTTTATTTTTTGTGTGTCTCAGGCAGGAAAGCAGATGTTATGCAATGGCGTATCAACCTCTGTGGTTGCGCAGACATTTACAACCCCACCTAGTCACCGATCCATCAGTGCAGAAAACTTCAACATCCACTCTGTGAGCATAATGTTTGTCTCCACATGCTTTCATTTATGTAATGCATAACATCCTATCTGAAACCTCTCCTCATCAGGTGTTTAATGTGGCATCTTTGCCAATCAGTGAGAGCTCAGGGATGAAGTCGGATGAGAGTGGATTCTCTGAGTCTATGAATCTGAGTTACACGTCAGCCAAAACCCAGTGTTATTCCACCGCAAGCACCCAGACGCCACCTGAACTCAACCTACCTGAAGATGACCTACAGATTGGTAAAACATGACCTACAGATGAGTGAGACTCGCACTCTCAGACTGTTGGCTTCTAATATGTGTGGTTTTTGCAGAAGGCCAGTACCAGCTGGAGTGTCCGGTCAGTGCAGGTGGTCACATGTTCTCCACACCTCAGCCACAGTCTCGTCTGAGTCAGTCCTGCTACCCCCGTGGTACAGCGAGAGGTATGACGCGTGCAGGCAGGGGTTTGGGTCACTCATACAGATCACCTGGTGGCTACAGAGGTACCTTCCTCTTCCTCGGTCTCCTTCACTCTCTGTTACGCTTTCTTTTTTTTAAAAATCGTATTGTGTACAGATCTGGTGTTGGTGTTTTCTGTTTCTGCGTGAGTTCTCTTGTTCTTGCATTATTTCCTATACTATACTATTTGTTATCTTTGCAATTTGGAGCAGACCTAGATTAATAGTATAAAACCTGCATTTCCTTTCCGTCTGACTGATTTCCAGGTGGTTATGAGGCCTACAGAGTGAATATGCGTTCTCCAGGTTTCATATCCCAGACACACAGAGACCCTGGATCTGCCATTTATATGTCTAGAGTAAGTTTGTGCTGTAGGCATTATTATATAATACATTTTATTCTTTTAGTTTACTATTTTTTTATTTTTGTGTTTAAGCCATTATAGGTCAGGGTTACTTATGCCGTTTGCTATATAAATGGCTAAATTAAGTTTGTTTTCATTGTGTTGTAGGCAATATATTATATTGGGTCACTTGTGATTGTTTTACCAATAGGAAAACGGGTATCAGCAGAGCTTCAAACGAGGTGGAGGCACAGCAACTCAAAGGAGCAATGGTATGAGCAATCTCCCATACTGCTATTTTCTAATACTGAGGAACGGTGTTGACGGAGTGATCAGAGTTATGTAATCCAATTACTTTCAAGTAACTAGTAAAGCATTAATTTTAAATTTATAACCAAATCTGAGTTACTTTTTCAAATAAGAACTTTAAAAAAAAAAAAATTTAAATAATTAAAACGCAAGCCCAGCCCAGGTGAGATTGAGAAAGTAACGTAATGCATTAATTTCTATGTAATTAGTTACTTTTTTTTTTTAGGATGTAAAGCACTTTTAAAAGTTCCTTTCCCAAACACTGGTGAGGAATGGCTCATAATACGTCAAAATGATAGTCTGTCTGTCTCTTCCCCTCTTTAAGCTGGTTGGAGTGACTCTTCTCAGGTGAGCAGCCCAGACCGGGAGGGTGCATATCCGCTCGACTCGGGAATCAGTGACACACTCTCCATCCCGCCAATGGAAGTGCCCATCACGCCCCAGGGCCCACACACTATGATGCCCATACACATGTACCCGCTCAACCAACTGCGCGTGGCTTTCTCCGCCGCCCGCGCGGCCAACTTCGCCCCTGGCACTCTGGATCAGCCGATCTCCTTCGAACTGCTGCACACCAACATCGGCGAAATGTTCGACACGACCAGCGGCCGTTTCACCTGTCCTGCTGCCGGCACTTACGTCTTCCTCTTCCACATCTTGAAGCTTGCCATCAGCGTGCCCTTGTACATCAACCTCATGCGCAACGAAGAGGTGATGGTGTCCGCGTATGCCAATGACGGCGCTCCGGACCACGAGACCGCCAGCAATCACGCTGTCCTCCAGCTGTTCCAGGGTGACCAGGTGTGGCTGCGGCTTCACCGCGGCGCCATCTATGGCAGCAGCTGGAAGTACAGCACCTTCTCTGGTTTCTTGCTGTACCCGGACTGAGCGTCTCTCTAAATGGCCACAAAAAGGGAGGATGGGGCGTTTTGGATGTTCTTTGAAAGCTACTCTGCACTTTATTGCACTTTTGGTTACGCATGGTGCAACTGCATGTTTGAAAGATGTACAAAAGTCAGTGATAAAGCTAATGTAGGATGTTTTGCTGGTGAACGTTTACATGGGTTTACCTGGGTTGTTCTTTTTATTTGATTATTATTTAATAGACTTTTATTTTCCAGTGTTTTTGAAAGTCTTTACTGTGTACTTGGGTGCACAAACCCGGAACCCAACGTGAAATCCTAACTTTCCGAAACGTCTTCAGGTGTTTGTTAGATGGCCCTGTGTTCACTCCTGTTCATTTTAGATGACGTTTCCCAGCCATACAAAAGTCTGCAACATGGTGCCTTTGTTTTTTGGGTCGTTGAACAAACGCATCGCTTTGCAAGAATGGAGGATTTTTTTTTTTTTTCTGGTAATACTTGACATGTTGAGCACTTTAAATTGACTTGGTGGCCTTGTTGGGGTTTTGGGTGTATGTGTGCTGCTAATCTGCGTGTTTGTCTGTGGAATAATGTGAGTGAATCAGTTGAACACTGACTCCGCCTAGAAGGCGTTTAGGCCAAAATTGCTCCCTCTTGTGCCTGAAATAAAAATGTGCAGTTCACTTCTGTGATGGCTTCATTTGTGTATCAAGTAAAGTTGTCAATGCGGTTTAAGGTTGCAGTTGTTCTTGCTGTGCAAGTTAGTACCAATTCTGATAGGATGTTTACCTCGGATTAAACCAGAAATTAGCTTTCTGGTCATTCTTATCTCCTGAAGTTACTTATTGCACTCAGTTTGCTGTAAGTCACAAGATTAAACAGGTTTTCTGTTAGTGACTGTTGGAGGAAAGTAAGCTTACAACATGCATCTAGTATCAGAATGCTGACAAGATGTATGTCGACACGTTCTTGATTTATAATTTAGTTTTCATATCTATGGTTATCAATATTATGGTTTTTGTAATTCATTAGCTCATTTCCGTATAAATTGATCTTTACATGTAGTTGCCTTTATTGGTGTTTTTGGTCAACTAGAACTCAACGTATAGCTCCAGGTCAAGTCCATAGTTTTTTTTTATTTATTTTATTTTTTAAACAAGGTTTCATTAACATTAGTAAATGATTTAGTTAAAATGAACTGTCAATGAACAATATTTCTATATTATCAATCAATCTCCATTTCAACATTAATACATTATTAAAATCAAATGTCCTAACAATTAACACCTTTAACTAGATTAATAAATGCTGCAAAAATTTTATTAAATGTTAGTTAATACATGACAATGTCTCATTTCTTAATATTTAAAGTGTTACTATTTATTTAACTAAATGTATATTACAGTTTAAAATATGTAGTTTAATTGCAGTTTGTGATGACATTTTAGTCTGAAATTACATTTTAAAATAGATGTCCAAAACAAGGTGTATGTAGGCTATCTTAAGTTAAAAAATATTTCTCACGTTCTGCGTACAATTACAACTTGACTGAACATACAATAAAGAATGTTTGTTTCGTATGTGTTTATTACACATATTTTTGAGCTAGATGTAATATCCTTGCGATAAACAAGTCTATAATCATCCTTATATTAGAAGGTCCCTTGGAAAGGGTTAACCGTGAGGATAGTGTATTGTCTCGTTGTGGATATTTTTAAAAAAAAATATTTAAGATGAGCTCAAGAGGCCGCTGTTGCCCAACTCATTAATCGCGACTGTACTGTGCGTAATGGAAAAACAAACACATTTGTTCATTAGGACGTCACGCATCTCTCGCGAGAGCTTCTATTCAGATCACTCGAGTCCTGCCATGGGCCAAACATGTCACATGAATGCACAAATGTTTACTTTATTTACTTTTCTCAGTTTTAACAGCCGAGTGTGTCCCCGTGTAGCCTATTCAAGTTATCTTTTAAGACTTTTGAGATTACGATTCATATTGATTTGTGCAATACTGTCTGGCTTTTTTTTTTACTAGGGTAATAAATTTATCTTTGTGGTTATGACACTTGTACCACATGTTTATCAGCAGATAGGCTTTTTTTTCTTTTAGCTTAATTGAGTTCAGATCAAAGATCAAAATTCTGGGAGAGTGTCTGATATTATAAACCGTAAACTGAAATGTAACCTGCTGCTGGTCTGTAGGGCTGCAGTCGACCTGCCCAGACTTGTTCATATAATCCCCCCCTTCTTAAACCTAGTTTTACCCCCCTGTATTAGGTCATGTCCCATGTGAACCCACTGCTCCTCCTCTCCCTGTGTTCTGTGAGGTCCTGGGATGGCTGGGATGGTCAGCTGTCTTCTTGCATGCTGTGGTCTGGAGATCCTTTGCTGGTCTTTGGATAAAGGGACTGTACTGTTCATTGTGTCCTTTTAAACAAACTGTCCTTTATAGGCAAATGGGTTGTCTCTTTGGTTTTGGGGAGATGGCAGGAGAGTATAAAATTCCCACTTCTCTTTTTGTAGTCTCTTTTTGTAGTTTCTAAACAATTTTGAGGTCATGGGTCATATTCTGAGAAAATGTAGGTTTGGGAAGACTCAATATTCTGTGGTTATATCCCTGAGATTACCGGCATATCCAAAAGTCAACAAAGAAACTAGGCCTACTAAAGCTGTAGGCCTACTGCAACTACAGGCACAACGACTGATCGAACATGACTATTTCGGTTTTTTCAACAGTACTCAAATTGATACTTGGAATTTAGCCATTTATCAGTGGAAGACAGCAGATAAATGGTGTTTTCACAAGCCACTAAGTGTGAGACTAAACTGTTGTTTCTTTGCGTTTCCTGCCTTTAAACTTAATGCTGGTAATTTGTCATCTGCCACAATGTCATTCCTGAGAAAATCTAGGAGTGAAACTTTGTGAACAAAAGGACAGGTGGTGACCGTGTCATTAGCAGAGATTTTGTGAACAAATAACTTTGTGAAACTTTATAACAACATTGTTGTAATGTATAACATGTGACACTCCTGGCACTGTTTCAGGCATTTATACAATCATATGTAATTTGATAGCCTTCTGTCACCTTGCCTTACCTTGCCGTTTAAAAAAAACAAATTAACACGCCTAATTTTTGTACATTCAAGCAGTGTTGGGGGTTAGACATTTAAAAGAACACGAGGTATGTCATCAGATTACTTTTTCATGCAACTAAGTAACACGTTACTTAAATTAAATTTACAAAAAAAAAATATCTGAATTGCTTTTTCAAATAATTAATTCAGATTACTTTATATACTTAAGTATACATACTCTTGTGACTACTGTCTACTAGGGCTGTCTGAATTCGCTCAGTCATTTTCATTCACTCCTTAAAAGTGAACTGTATTAGTGGACTAATGTGGAATAGTGTTTCAATGGATTTTTGGATTCAGCCATTGATTCAATGTTTGACGTGAAAGGGCATTTGCCTATATATATATTTATATATTTGTTATTAAAAAAACAAACAAAAAAGCCCAGTACATGTGAGATTTTCCCATTTTGGAGCAACGCACTATATTGTAACACTATGTTTAAAAGTAACTTTCCCCCAATCGAGTCTTTATATTATTTGCAGTGGGTCCCTCGCGGGGGCAGCCATTTTGAGATCACATGACCAGCCTACTGGAAAACTACTCATTTGATCTTGTTAACCCCTGTTATTGGACATTTTCGTCCATAGAATAAATTATTCATTACTTAGAGCATTTCTTGGCAACTGAAAAAGTTTGCATTTTGCATTGAATATTAATTACTCAGTGTACCTTTAAGGTGAAAATCAGGATAGTTTTTGACTGAAAAATATATAGTTTGCTATTTGGATAATACATGCACAGCATTTGAGATGCAAAGAACCGACTATCTGTGAAACAGGAAAAGGAACATTTGCGTATTTGCACCATGATCTGAGTTTGGTGTCACATTTTTGCATGTTAGAATGTCATGTCTTGTTCAAGCCAATGTTTTTCATGGAAACAGTCTTTTTATGGCTTGCATCTGTGTAAGAAGCAAGTAAAGGGATTTTAAAATTACATTCCATAAAAAGCACTTACGACAATAAGTTTGTGTTGTGGGTTGGACTGGTGACAGACTAAAGTGTATGGTCAGTTTTAGAGCTACTATACAGATCCATCCATTGCTGTGTACATGCTCATTGTGGATGATAAATTAAAATTACTTGGATCTCCTTTTGTCAGCATACGACTTGTTGGCTCATGTTGGCTTTTATCATTTTGTCGTTGTGTGTCTACTTCTCTTTTTTTAATCACTTTTAGCACTGACATTCTCAAAAAAAAAAAAAAAATCCTAAGCGGGGAAAGGCCGTGTGCATAAATTCCCAGCATAACAGCCGAAAATCCCCTTTCAGAGGTCCAATCCAACACATTTGCTCGAAGTCTTCCAGTGCATGATGGGATGGGGTAAATATCCTATTTTCCGCCCAGGAAATAAACTCTGTAAGCTGCGATGGGTTTGTGATAAGATTTTCGTTTGCATATCCTGCCCTGTTGTTTTAATCTCTCTGATAACCATCTTCTCATTACAGGCAGTAAATTGAAAACAACTGAATTTACAGGGACCTGCAGAAATGTGTTGCCGAGGAGCATGTAGAACGTAAGTGACCCAAACACCCATGCAGCGGAGTGAATGTTTTCTCACGGCCGTGACAGAATTCAGACATTTCGCACAAAAGAACGGTTGTGCGCCTTGTGCTTACACCTCTATGAGGAGGTCCAGGTGTGTGATTCTAACCTGAAGCTATACCCCGTCATTTCCTCTCATCCATGCAATTTCACTCCTTCATGTTGGACGTATATTTTTCCTAAACCTCCTCCCATCCTTTAACTCCTCCACTCAGTGTCAACATGTGGCCTTGCCGTTAGCTCAGTGTCATGCTATGTTTGGAATAGCATATTCTTACTATTCCAGTTTATTATGTTAATGTTAAAGGGTTACTCCACTTTTTTTGGAAACAGGCTCATTTTACCACTCCCCCAGAGTTAAACAGTTGGGGTTTACCGTTTTCCAATGTATTCAGACAATTTTCTGATATATAGAAGAATATCAGTAACCAGACAGTTTCTGGTCTCATTGACTTCCATAGGAAAAAATATACTATGGAAGTCAATGAGACCAGAAACTGTCTGGTTACTGATATTCTTCTAAATATCAGAATATCAGCTGAATACATTCAAAAACGGTAAAAACCCAACTGTTTAACTCTGGGGGAGTAGTAAAATGAGCCTATTTCCAAAAACAGTTGAGTATCCCTTTAAGTTTTCTGTATGAAGGATGGATGAGCTATTTGCCAAAATATGCAGGACAGTCATGTTTACATTCAAGTTGCACATTTAATTTATGTGAAAAGTTAATTAGCAAAGGTTTGCACCCTCTGCGTTCATGTGAACAAAATAGTCACTTCAAGAGAAATTTGGTGCGAAATGGCAATGAAAGTTCCTTTATAAAATAAATCACTTGCTATTTAGAGTGGACAAACAAAATGCTCTGATGCACTTGATGAGGTTTGTCGTTTTGGGTGGTAAAAGTCTTGGCATTCAGTTTTCTTTTGAATTTATTTGTTAAATGTGGTTCCATTGTAGTTTATGTAAAGCCTTCTTACAGAATATGTTTGCATTTATG